GGAACAAAAGAATTTACATTTAAAATAAGAAAACAGAATTACATTGTCTTATTTCAAGTGCATATGGAAGAATAGAAATAGAATGATGAAATGGGGGTCCCTACGTCCTCCAGCAGTCTAAGCCTATAGCAGCATAACTATAGAGATAGCTCAGGATAACCTGAGCCACTCTAACTATAAACTTTATCAAAAAGGAAAGTTTAAGCCTAGCCTTAAAAGTAGACAGGGTGTCTGCCTCACGGACTAAAACTGGTAGTTGGTTCCACAGGAGAGGAGCCTGATAACTAAAAGATCTGCCTCCCATTCTACTTTTAGAAATTCTAGGAACCACTAGTAAATCCTGCAGATTGAGAGCGAAGTGCTCTGTTAGGAACATAAGGAACAATCAGATCTCTGATATAAGATGGAGCTTGGTCATTTAAGGCTTTATATGTGAGAAGGAGGATTTTAAATTCTATTCTGGATTTAACAGGAAGCCAATGAAGAGAAGCCAGGATAGGAGAGATATGATCTCTCTTTTTCATTTTCATCAGAACTCTGGCTGCAGCATTTTGGATCAGCTGAAGGCTTTTAACTACAGTTTGTGGACTTCCTGATAGTAAAGAATTACAATAGTCCAGCCTTGAAGTAACAAATGCATGGACTAGTTTCTCAGCATCAACCCTGGACAGGAGATTTCTCATTTTTGCAATGTTCCTCAGATGAAAGAAGGAAATTCTAGAAACCTCTTTGATATGGGATTTAAATGACAGGTCCTGATCAAAAACAAGATTTTGCTTCATCTGGATTTATATACAGATATAGCTGAGTGTCATCAACATCACAGTGAAATTAATCCAATACTGTCTAATAACTCTACCAAATGGGAGTAGGGATGCCCGATACCACGTGCTTGTACTTTTACCTCCGTCTGTAAATGTGCTCTGATACTACAGGACCGGATACTAGCATACCTTTATCTTTAACAGAAAGCATTAGTTTGCAATCAGATACTAGAAGAAGAAGACAAAGCAGCGAAGAAGAACGCAGTGTGATGTCAAGAACCTGCCAGCCAGAGCATTGAGAAGGAGGCAGTAAACACAAAAAGGGTGGATTTAGCCATGTCTAGTATTTGGACATATTTTCAAGTAAACGAGGAGGACAAAAGTAAGGCTAGTTGCAAAATATGTAAATTAAGTTATCAAGAGGAGGAACAAACCCTAGAAGTTAAAACACAAGTAACCTGATAAAACATCTTATGACACAACATGAAGCCGAACACAAGGAGTTTTCACATGGCGGTGAGAAACTACAACAACCAACTTTGCCGCAAACGCTGAAGAAGCGGGAGAAGATGTCCAGAGACAATCCACATGCAATGAAGATAACAGAAGCTCTTATTCAATACATTGCCCTCGATGATCAGCCATTATCCCTCGTTGAAAATGTTGGATTCAGACTTCTTCTTAGTTTGAAAAAATCTGGTATCGGCACATCCCTAATTGACTATATAATTACTATATAATTACTATATAATGAGCATATATATAGTAAAGAGAACTGGCGACCTTTCCAGGATGTACCCCGCCTCATGCACGTAGGCAGCTGGAGATGGGCACCAACACCCTTCGCAACCCTGCTTGGAATAAGCGTGTCAGAAAATGGATGGATGGATGGATATAGTAAAGAGAACTGGTCTTAGCACTGATCCTTGTGGTACTCCACAGGTAACCTTTGGGCATGAGAAAGATTTATCATTAACGTGAACAAATTGAAATTGATCAGATAGATAAGATTTAAACCAGTCTAGTGCTGTTCCTTTAATTCCAACAAAATATTCAAGTCTTTCTAAAAGAATATTATGATCAACTGGATCAAATGCAGCACCGAGATCCAACAGGACGAGCACAGATACAAGTCCATTATCTGAGGCCATGAGAATATCATTAGTGACTTTCACCAGAGCTGTTTCAGTGCTATGATGAGCTCTAAAGCCAGACTGAAACTCTTCAAAAAGTTCATTATGGTGGAAGTGATCGCAAACTTGTTTGGCAACTACTTTCTCAAGAATTTTGGATAAGAAAGGAAGATTGGATATAGGTCTATAATTGACCAAGTCATCTGGGTCAAGAGACGGTTTCTTAAGCAGAGGTTTAATTACAGCAACCTTAAAAGACTTTGGTACATATCCCTGTAACAGAGATAGATTAATCACATCTAAAATGGAGGAGGAGATCAAAGGGAATACCTCCTTAAATAACCTGGTTGGAACTGGATCTAACATACAAGTTGAAGGCTTAGGTGAAGACAATAGTTTTGCTAATTCAGAAAGTTCAACTGGATCAAAGCAGTTTAAACCCGGTTCAGATTCTATGGCTACCTAAGATGCTGCCCCACCACCCCCCCCTCCAGAGACAAACCAATCGCAGATAGAGAAATGCTTATGATCTTATTTTTAATAAGATCAATCTTATTTATAAAGAATCCCATAAAATCATTGCTGCTAAGAGCAGGTGGAATGGACGGTTCAACAGAGCTATGGCTCTGGGTGAGTTTGGCAACTGTATTAAAAAGAAATCTAGGATTATTCTTATTCTCCTCTATTAATGAGGAGAAGTATGCTGCTCTTGCTTTACAAAGGGTCCTCTTATACAGCAGTAAACCATTTTTCCAGACTAGGAAGGACTCCCGCAGGCCTGTGGAGCGATATTTTCTCTCCAGTTTCCTAGCATTTTGCTTCAAAGTACGCAGCTCTGCATTAAACCAAGGAGCAAGCTTTCTATTTTTAACGGTTTTCATTTTCAAAGGAGCTGCGCTGTCTAAGGCAGTACGCAGAGAACTAGCAACCCCATCAACAAAATCATCAACCTGTGAAGGGGAATAAGCTAAGCTTTTGCACTCTGCAGCACTGCTCAGCAACACAGAGGAGAGAGAAAGTGAAGCAGATTCTTTAAAATTTATAACTGCACTATCTGATAAAGATCTACTAAAATTGAACCTTCTTTTGGGGGAGGAGAACTCTGTTAAAGTAATCCTGAAGGTTATTGGAAAGTGGTCAGAGAGGACAGGGTTGTGAGGAAATACTGTTATTTCTTCACATTCTATGCCGTATGTCAGCACAAGATCCAAAGTATGAAGATGAGAATGCGTGGGACTATTCACATTTTGAACATAGCCAATAGTGTCTAAGATAGCATTAAAGGCTGCTCTTAAGCTATCGCCTTCAATGTCAGCATGGATGTTAAAATCTCCCACTATGATGACCCTGTCAGTGTTTAATACCAAATCCGAAAGGAACTCTGAAAACTCATCTAAAAATTCAGAGTAAGGACCTGGTGGACGATACAAAGTTACAAAAAGAAGAGGTTTTCCTGCTTTGCTATTTGGATCAGGGAAATTAAGGGATCAAATGTTCAAAAGAGTTGTAGGTATTAACTGCCTTTGGAGTAATCAGTAAGTAAGACTGAAAGGTTGTCGCTATCCCCCCTCCTCCTCGCCCAGAACCTCTGGGTATGTGAAAATTTAAATACCTTGAAGGAGTTGCCTCATTTATCTCTTGCTGCAACCAGGTTTCTGTAAGGCAACATAAGTCAATGTGATTATCACAAATCAAGTCATTAACTAGCAGACTTTTAGAGGAAAGAGATCTTATGTTAAAAAAAAATTAAATAATCATTTTAACTTTTTCCACAATTTTAGTTATTTTAATTTTAATTAGATTATGATCATTTACTCCTTTGGGAATATTTTCTAATTTATTTGATTTTGGTCGTGGGCAAGACACTGTCTAGATGGAGTACAAAAAAAAAATATCTGTTTTTAAGCAGAGATCAGAGACACAAGCAGCTGGAGATTTAAAGGAGAAACAGGTTTACTGGAATATGCAACATGCCAGAAAATATATCTCCAAGTAAATATACAATAATTAAATTCATTCAGCAAGACTCAGACATAGCTGTGCCGGGCAACTCAGGGACAGCCACAAAGAACAAAGAATTAAAATATAAGAAACAAGAAGTAAAGGGAAAATGGAGTAAAAATCAGTGAATGAATGATTTTTTAAATGAGTTCAATAGACTTGAGATGACAATATTTAAGACACATTTCTAAATTAGATTTTGCTTCTTGTGAAGTAGGACAATCACTGATGAACCTCAAAGGGAAACCCTCCATTCATATTTTCCTGGATAGATGGAATTAAAGTTGCGTCCATACTAGAGATGTATGTTATATTGCTGTTGGTATCAGCTATTATTTGTCTTTTTTCTTTATACATTGTTTTTGAGCCCTTTCTAAATAATGCACTAAAAGGCATCTGTCTAATCAATATAAGTATCAGTGTATTGTGGTTCTCTTGTGTTCTCAACAAAAGGAAAGCACTCAGTAGATAAATGTTTCAGTTCATTTAACGTTTCGGTCGAATAACTGCGGGTCCATCAGCCGCCACCCTTAGAGCGCCCCCACCAGCTTTCATCACCAAGTTACTCTGTTGATCCTGGGATATCCAAGGCTATGTAGGATAGGGTGGACACGTCCTTCAAACGGGCAAAAAAAAAAAAAGGGCTGCATTTGTCAGCCGCATAACGAGCAGTCTTCCAATCCGAACAGACCTCGGCGCCAGCTATGACATCATCAGCCAACGAATCTGGCCTTCTGAGGATGCAGCTGCTGAATTCAAACTCAGCATACGTCTTTGGTTTATGAAGGGATGAGAAAATCACCACAAATCTCTTTTCTGTAGTAAAGATCCGCCCAACACTCACCTCCTTAGCCAATCAGTAAGCATTTGGTGTTAATTTAAATAAAAGAATAGATTTTAGATGTTTTCTTTGCTGTGAGACCATCCGGTGTTTCATTTCAGTAACGATATTCAGATGTTTTTGATGGAGATAAAGCAGCAGACTGCAGGGTGAAAACAGCAGTTTATTGGGGAGGAAACACGAATGGTTCTGGTCCTGGGTGGTTCTGGACGTTGTGGACTCCATGAACAAACTGCCTCAGACCACAGGGAGGTTTTAGACAGGACAGTTTTAATGAACGTATCAAGCAGAGACAAAGCCGAATGATAAACACTGAAAGGAGGAGAGGTGGTCTAAAGGCAGCCTGGAACAGCTGGATGCTTTAAACTTAAAGTCCCGCCAACCATGAGCTCCACCCACACCGCAATAGGCCGTGGGTTCTGGACTCATCTCAGTCTGTAGGCTGCTGCCTAGTTCCATCAGGCTCTATGAAGCGGAGCAGAATGGCTGGTTAGGCCTCAGAGGTTCTTTTCTTGATCTCAGCAATGAGGTCCGATCTGTTTATATCAACCTGAAAGAAACCAGAACCAACAGCTGTTAAACGCTTTCTGTATCTGAGGGCATCCAGCAGCTTGGGTGGGTGTGGGGGGGGCTACCTCTTCTCGGGTGGCCACCACCCGCAGTTTGACCACCCCGTCCTTTAGCTCCTGCTCTCCCAGTATGGCCACCAGGGGGATCCCCGTCTCCTCGCAGAGCTGCAGCTGACTCAGCAGTTTGGGGTTCTTCTTGTACATCACCTCAGCCTGCAGACACACACAACCTTTGGATTTCAGTTCCTGACGCCAACACTAACCTGATATTCACACTACCCATGATACTCATGCCAGACGACGACGTTCATGCCAGGCCGCAATGTCCGCACTAGCCCCTACATTCCCCCTAACCCTAACATCCACCCACAAACCGACATTCTCGCTAACTATGACAGTTGAAGGGTGTCTGGTCTGTTTAGAGGTCGACTGGGTTCAGAACCCCTCAGAATGTTCTGCCATAACCTCCTGGTGGGTTGCATATCTTTACTGATGCTGGGTTTAGGGCTGGGGTTCCAGGTGGAGCAAAGGGAGGTTATCTCTACACAGAACCTGGTACCACTTCCTTCCACCAACAGTTTTCTTTGTCCTCGCTGGTCCAGAAGATGCGGCGTACCATCCTAAAGGTCGCCATGTGAAAAGACTCCTCCCCCTGAGCAGAGGACGGGTGGAGCTATTCTCCACCTATCGGGTTAGAGCCCAGCCAGCTAGGAGGTAGATGTTCCTCCCAGAGCATTGGAGCCCATTGGATCCAAGTCCCACTCACCTTGATGCCAGCGTTCCAGAGCTCGGTGACTAGCCTGAGCCTCTCCTCCAACAGGTTCTTCTGGGCAGATGCAACCAGGACCTGGACCTCAGTGGTCCGGACCTTCTCTGCAGACGCCTAAAGAAGGACAGCATGGTTTTAATGGAAACATTGGTACAGACAGAGTACAGTAGAACCCGTCTCCAGGGGTCACCTCGGCCTTCTGCTCCATGATGGAGAAGATCCTCTCGATGCCGATGCTGACACCCACACACGGAACCTTCCGGCCCTTTGGGTCGAACATGCCAACCAGGCCGTCGTAGCGGCCACCTCCTGCGACGCTGCCCACACTGACACCTTCTTCGGACCCGTTTTGGGCGTCGCTGAACGCCGGAGCGGCCCCGGCCTGCGTCAGCACCGCCTCATAGATGACTCCGGTGTAGTAGTCCAGCCCACGGGCCAGGCTCAGATCAAACTCCACCTGAGAGGGACGGGTCAGGACAGACGTCACCCAGCAGAGACCCAGACACAGAGACAGATGGACGCCTCACCTTGTCTGTGACCTGGAAGAGCTGCAGGTAGCTGAAGAGAAGCTTGATGTCGGACAGGCCGGCACAGGCCTGCTTGCTCTGAGACAACCGGGGATCCAGCAGGAGGCGCTCCGCCAGGTCCATCCCCCCTGAAACACAACCAGCCCTGTTTAGTTCCTGGTTTTACTCTGCTAGCAGCACAGACCACTGGTCAAGACCCAGTTCCACCAAAACCTGCTGAGAGCCGGAGTCCAGGTCTTCACTCATGTACCAGCAAACCCAACCTAACCGTAAAGTCATCGGCAAGTCATATTTAACTGCCAAATCATTCTGGCTTAAACATGCAGTGTTTCGCATTAATGAATGGGCTGCCACAGTCTCGTTTGGGCACGCCACAGTCTCGTTTGGGCACGCCACAGTCTCGTTTGGGCACGCCACAGTCTTGTTTGGGCACGCCACAGTCTCGTTTGGGCACGCCACAGTCTCGTTTGGGCACGCCACAGTCTCGTTTGGGCACGCCACAGTCCCGTTTGGGCACGCCACAGTCCCGTTTGGGCCCGACACAGTCTCGTTTGGGCACGCCACAGTCTCGTTTGGGCACGCCACAGTCTCGTTTGGGCACGCCACAGTCTCGTTTGGGCACGCCACAGTCTCGTTTGGGCACGCCACAGTGTTATATAGACACAGAGAAAGCAACAACAACAATAAGATCTGTTAGTTTATCAGACCATTCCACAGCTGTACTTTCATACCACTCATAACCCAGCGCCATGGAGAGAATTGTTTACGGCCGTAACCAAGCGACAGGAAGAATGCGTGCCACGCTTATAGACGTAACTTATTTCTTGATACATTTGGCGTATCAAATCCAGCGACGCCGGAGCGGGACGTCTGACTGAGGTAAGTGCAACTTCATTTTTGGGCTATCAAGTTGGATTGTTGATCAGTAGGCTATGTTCTCATCTCGTCAAGCGAGTCAACTTCTAACATACCAAACCGATTCTAACTTTCTGACCTCCATTGCCAGTAGCGGTTCTACTCCCTGGGCGAGACCCACTCCAAGCACCACTTATATTTTTTTTACAAGCGCGCGTCCCATCCTCTTTTATAAAAATGCCGTCCCGGCTGCCTAGTTCGCCCGCAGTGTTGCCAACTCAGCGACTTTGTTGCTATATTTAGTGACTTTTCAGACCCCTCCAGCAACTCTTTTTCAAAAAAGCAACTAGCGACAAATCTAGCGACTTTTCTGTTGTCACTGGCGACTTTTGGAGAACCTTACGTGAAAGCACAAATCGTTGCTACTTGTCAAGCGGCAGGTGCTGCCGTGGGGCGCCTCCCCTGTCCCCACCCTGTTCTCCTGCTTCCGCAGCAGACCCTGTAAGCGCTGTAGTCAGAGCCACAGCATGTTTACCCTCAGGATATAAATGTAAAATGTTATTTGGTCGAAAATAAATAAATGAATTTGAAATGTTTCATCTTAAATGAAGGCATTTGATTCACACAGCAACAGTCACTTAATCAACTTGTCGATTTTGTTTTCCTCTCTAAGATAATGATTTGTAGGCTCCTTGGTGGACCACAAGGGAAACAAGAAAAAGTAAAATTAGATAAAATTTTTATATTTTAAAAACAAAGCAGAGTATGACGTCATACACAAACTTTAGAAAATTTCTATTTAAAAGAAACAAATCCTGTCTTAAAATCTGTTTTTTTCGTTATAAATTCATACACCTTAATTCAGCCAATGATATATCAACAGTCATCTGTCAATCAAATGTTTTCGGTCATAGCATCTTGATTCATATGTTGCAGCTAATATACGCAACGGTTGAAATAAGAAATCATTTCCTTTCCCACTGAGTTCTGTCCCAGTGTTCACGGGGATGGACGTCTGTGTCTTCGGCAGGTGTAGAGCTAACAGAACTGGCAGCGTTGCGAGACAAAGGCTCAAACATGTACGGCTGGAAGCCTTCTACACCAAACCAAGCTTCTGCCGCCCTGGCGTCCTCTTCCACAACATCTTCGTCCCCGCTTTCCTCCTCTGAATAAAAAATGGATGACGGAGGAGACTCCTCCACGACCTCCGACACTAAACTCTCCTCCTCTTGCATGTTTCCTCTGTCCATAGCGTTCCTTGACAGCGTCGTTTCTAAGTCACCAATTTAGTGCTACTTGGTCCCAATGGAATTTCCCATTGGGAACCTGCTAGCACTAAGTTGCTAACTGGTTAGCAAGATGCTTCAGACAAACTGGCTACAACCAAACTTGCTTGTGAACCTTCTGCCACAACAATCCCGCCCCCTTGATAATCGACCAATCATGTTCACTTTATTCACCCTTGTTCAGTTGGGCACCACTCGGGAGAATTCAAAAAGGCAACATTTGTAATAGCCGCTTCCCTACGACTTTAAAACAAGCTATTCCTCAGACCTGGACCAACAATTGACAGCTTTCTGAAGGTGTTTTCTGTGTTCAAGGTTCTATCAGCTGATGAACCCAGAATATTACAGGTTTAATATTACAGGTCCATTCAGACCTGGAGGCCCAGATGGACCTGATGGAGTCTGTTCAGTCTGTCGGTGTTCTCAAGTTCTACGATAAACAGCGTGAAGGTTCTGAGGAGCATCAGGGAGCATGAAGCAACCTAATCTCCATGCTGGGAGGAGGGACCGGGTGTTACCACCAGACTCACCATGCAGGCCGACGTAGCTCCCAATCTGGTCTGCAGCCTCCTCAGACAAACCCTTCTCATTCACGATCTCCTTCTTCACATCGTCCCAGGACATCTGCAGAACGACGACAGGATCAGAGCCGGGTGTGTGAGTCAGACAGGAGACAGCAGAGGAGGACGCCCAGACAACCAGGGGTGAGAGACAGACAACCAGAGGGGGAACAGAGGGACAACCAGGAGGGGAACAGATTCAATCAGGTATTTAAGCATCAGAAAAACTGGACAGGAAGCTGGAAGTTCTGCTGGTGGAAGAACTTAACCTGTTAGATCGACTCATCAACCTGCCTCACAACAGGAAGTGACATCATTTTGCTGCAGCTTCTGAAGACATCAATGTTTTATCAAGCTATGGACCATGAATAAAACAGGAGCTGCATAAAGATGTCTCAAGAGACGCCAGATCTGAGGAAGGATCAAACATGTTGCACCGCCACGACAGCTCCACCCACAGACAAACACGGTGGTGGAGGCATCATGCGGTGGGGAATTCTTTTGCAGCAGGGAAACAAAATAAGCTAATTACAGGGATGTTCTTTGTCCAGACCTGTTATTTAGAAAACAGGAGGGATGTTCACTGTCTAGGAGGACAAAGGAAGGGTTGAATGGCCTAGTCAAAGTCCAGATCTCTAATATGGAAGGATTAAAGCTAGACCTACAGGTCAAACTAGCCAGCACGAAGCAGGTGGAGCAGTACTGCTGAGGTGACGAGCTGATGGAAGGTGGTCCAAAGCGACCGGCAGCAGGAGAACATCTTACCTTATCCAGCTTATCCACCGTTGAACAGATGGTTCGGAACTTGTCGTCAGGAACGCCGCACACGGCAAACATCCCGTCCAGGATGCGTCGGTCGTTGACCTGGCGACGAAGTAGGAGTCAGGAAGAGCCTTCTACCTGATGACGTTCTGACGCCGCAGTCACTGACCTTGATGCGGAAGTCTCCCAGCTCCAGCTCGCTGAGGATCTCATGGACGATCTTCAGACACTCTGCGTCTGGGATCATGGCGTCGTACTGACCGGCGATGTCGAAATCCTGAAACAGACAGACGGTGAGAAGAGCAGCTGGAGCCCAACGCACACCAACCTGCTCTGACAGAACTTACACACTGATAAAACTCTCGGTAACGGCCGCGGGTCATGGCGGGGTTGTCACGGCGATAGACCTTAGCGATGTGGTAACGCTTGATGTTGGTTATCTTGTTCATAGCCAGATAGCGAGCAAACGGTACCTGGAGGAGAAGAGGTGAAGGAGGACAAACTGTTCTGATGGAGGACAGGATCCGCCTCCCTCTACTGGGGCGTACTGGGACGGGATCCGCCTACCGCTACTGGGGACGGGACGGGATCCGCCTCCATCTACTGGGGCGTACTAGGACGGGATCCGCCTCCCGCTAGTGGGACGGGATCCGCCTCCCGCTACTGGGACGGGATCCGCCTCCTGCTACTGGGGACAGGACGGGATCCGCCTTCCGCTACTGGGACGGGATCCGCCTCCCGCTCCTGGGACGGGATCCGCCTCCCGCTACTGGGACGGGATCCACCTCCCGCTACTGGGACGGGATCCGCCTCCCGCTACTGGGGACGGGACGGGATCCGCCTCCATCTACTGGGGCGTACTAGGACGGGATCCGCCTCCCGCTAGTGGGACAGGATCCGCTTCCTGCTCTACTGGGACGGGATCCGCGTCCCGCTAGTGGGACGGGATCCGTGTCCCGCTAGTGGGACGGGATCCGCCTCCATCTACTGGGGCGTACTAGGACGGGATCGGCCTCCCGCTAGTGGGACAGGATCCGCCTCCATCTACTGGGGCGTACTAGGACGGGATCCGCCTCCCGCTAGTGGGACAGGATCCGCCTCCCTCTACTGGGGCGTACCGGGACGGGATCCGCCTCCCGCTACTGGGACGGGATCCGCTTCCTGCTCTACTGGGACGGGATCCGCGTCCCGCTAGTGGGACGGGATCCGTGTCCCGCTAGTGGGACGGGATCCGCCTCCATCTACTGGGGCGTACTAGGACGGGATCGGCCTCCCGCTAGTGGGACAGGATCCGCCTCCATCTACTGGGGCGTACTAGGACGGGATCCGCCTCCCGCTAGTGGGACAGGATCCGCCTCCCTCTACTGGGGCGTACCGGGACGGGATCCGCCTCCCGCTACTGGGACGGGATCCGCTTCCTGCTCTACTGGGACGGGATCCGCGTCCCGCTAGTGGGACGGGATCCGTGTCCCGCTAGTGGGACGGGATCCGCCTCCATCTACTGGGGCGTACTAGGACGGGATCGGCCTCCCGCTAGTGGGACAGGATCCGCCTCCATCTACTGGGGCGTACTAGGACGGGATCGGCCTCCCGCTAGTGGGACGGGATCCGCCTCCATCTACTGGGGCGTACTAGGACGGGATCGGCCTCCCGCTAGTGGGACAGGATCCGCCTCCATCTACTGGGGCGTACTAGGACGGGATCGGCCTCCCGCTAGTGGGACGGGATCCGCCTCCATCTACTGGGGCGTACTAGGACGGGATCGGCCTCCCGCTAGTGGGACAGGATCCGCCTCCATCTACTGGGGCGTACTAGGACGGGATCGGCCTCCCGCTAGTGGGACAGGATCCGCCTCCCTCTACTGGGGCGTACTGGAACGTACCGGGACGGGATCCGCCTCCCGCTAGTGGGACGGGATCCGCCTCCCGCTACTGGGACGGGATCCGCGTCCTGCTCTACTGGGACGGGATCCGCGTCCCGCTAGTGGGACGGGATCCGCCTCCCGCCACTGGGGCGTACTGGGACGGGATCCGCTTCCTGCTCTACTGGGACGGGATCCGCGTCCTGCTAGTGGGACGGGATCCGCCTCCCGCCACTGGGGCGTACTGGGACGGGATCCGCTTCCTGCTCTACTGGGACGGGATCCGCGTCCCGCTGGTGGGACGGGATCCGCCTCCCGCTAGTGGGGCGTACTGGGACGGGATGCGCTTCCTGCTCTACTGGGACGGGATCCGCGTCCTGCTCTACTGGGACGGGATCCGCGTCCCGCTAGTGGGACGGGATCCGCCTCCCGCCACTGGGGCGTACTGGGACGGGATCCGCTTCCTGCTCTACTGGGACGGGATCCGCGTCCTGCTAGTGGGACGGGATCCGCCTCCCGCCACTGGGGCGTACTGGGACGGGATCCGCTTCCTGCTAGTGGGACGGGATCCGCCTCCCGCTAGTGGGGCGTACTGGGACGGGATCCGCGTCCCGCTAGTGGGACGGGATCCGCCTCCCGCTAGTGGGGCGTACTGGGACGGGATCCGCTTCCTGCTCTACTGGGACGGGATCCGCGTCCTGCTCTACTGGGACGGGATCCGCGTCCTGCTCTACTGGGACGGGATCCGCCTCCCGCTAGTGGGGCGTACTGGGACGGGATCCGCTTCCTGCTCTACTGGGACGGGATCCGCGTCCCGCTAGTGGGACGGGATCCGCCTCCCGCTACTGGGGCGTACTGGGACGGGCTACTGGGGCGTACTGGGACGGGCTACTGGGGCGTACTGGGACGGGCTACTGGGGCGTACTGGGACGGGATCCGCCTCCCTCTGGGACACACACTGGGAAGGTTTCCCAGTCTCCTACTGGGAGGCTCCCAGCTGGCTCCACTGGCTGCAGGATACAGTGAGGTCGTATCTCAGAGACAGCAGCTCTCCTCCCTGGTCCTTCAGGTCGTAGATGAGCTTGGAGTCTTCTCCATATTTCCCGGTCAGCGTCTCCTGCAGGAGGAGCAGAGGAGGTCAGTAAACAATGACCTCCTGGCAGCAAGGAGGTCCAGGCAGAACAAACCCACCTTCAGCTCAAACACGGGCGTGTCGATGGTCTCAGCTCCGTGACGTTTGAAGCAGCGAGTGATGGTGCTGAAGACCTTCTCTCTGATGGCCATCTGCTTGGGGTTGTAGTCCCTCGTTCCCTGCATCACAATCAATCATCTGCTCAGATGGAGGAGGCTGAGGGTGACGCCATCAGCAGGTCAACAAAACCTTTCAGGAGATCTGAGGGGGTGGCTCCAATCAGAGCTGAACGCAGGAGGCGGAGCTAAGAGCAGGTTTCCTGTTGCTCTACAGGTTTCCTCTGCTCTGAGTTTACCAAACATTTCAGTCGCTGACTCCAGAAATAACCACACAACAGACAAAAATACACACAATCACTCGACTGAGTTAGACATAAAGGAGAGGATTTTAAAAATCTGACAGGTCGATTTTTATATGATCACAAAACGCCTTAAATATTGGACTGTTATCTGGAAATATTTCCTCACTGAAATAATAAAAAGTCCTCAGATAACATGGAGCGAATTTTGATCCATTATTGTTGCAGCAAGGGAAACGTTTATAACTGCAGAAAAAAGAGAGAATTTATCTTGTATCTTAAACAAAAAAGGTTTTTAAAAGTAACTTTGCTGTTTTCTATGGAAGCGTATTAGATTCACCAGCTTATCTCATAATTAGGAGATTGTATCTATTTTTATTATTTGAGCCAATAATGGAGCATCTCTCAGAAAACTGATCTTCATTACTTCTTTAAAATATCTGCATCTAAAATATCTGACCTGAAACGCGTTGGAGCTCCGCTCCCGTTTTCCACTTCATCATAAAGTACGCAGCTGTAACTCTGGGATTACTGCTAGAGCAGGTAGCATGCAGCCATTTGACCATACGCCAAAATCCATCAACAGCTCCATTAAAACAGATTCTGTTTGGTTTTAGTTTTTCATATGAATGGACATGCTGCATGAAGATGGGATCTGATCGTTTGAAACCATGAGCTGTTCTCCCTGAGGAGAATGTACTGAACAGTTCTTTGCGACGCCACCAAGCCAGCTGGAATGCAGTTCAGACGCATTCATTTATAACCATAAAGCATCCGGTGGTGGTTTAATTGCTCCTGCAGGAAGACTGAGACTTCCAGCAGGTCCTAAGGACCCCAAAAATGCAGGAAAAAGGATGGGCAGGTGGTCTACTGCTGGCTTTAGACTCACATTTAATGCATTTATTCCATAAAAGTTTATTGGATCTAGAATGAAAACATTAACTTTTAGCCAAGCTGCTGAAGGTCTACTTGCAGCTCCAGGTTCAGGAAGCGTGTTCTTCAGTAGAAGGTTCTCACCTTTGGTGTCTTCAGCACAAACTGGTGTTTGCCTTCATCTCCTCCCAGCCGAGCCTTCAGCTCCAGCAGTTTGGCTACTTCTTCATCAATCTGCAAGTAAAACACAGAAGCTGCTTAGAAACCTTCTCTGGTTTGGATGTTCAGGAACGTAGAGGTTCGGCTTCACTCCACCTGAGCCGCGGTGAGGCCGGACACAGAGCGCAGGGCGTGAAGACGCAGGGCGGTCCGCAGCCCGGAGCAGCCACGGGCGCAGGACAGAGCCAGCATGGTCGTCCAACAGCAGCAACACAAAAAACACAAATAAAAAACACAGTCCAGAGAGCAGGGAGGGCAGAGTTCAGCAGTTCGTCATGGCAACAGCAGACACAGGTGGAGGCGCAGCGCAGGTCCAGATCCCCGACGGCGATGAGGACGACCAGCCAGGAAGAACAGGAGAAAAGTGGTAAGCAACCCTAGCGCTAGGGAGGGGCGGGGCATCATCATCATCATCATCATCACCACAGCGTGGAGGACAGAAGATGAGACGCAGTAAGTCAATCACAGTTATAGAAACAAAAGGCTTAGAACAGCTGCAGACATGATGGACCAGTTCTGGTTCTGTTAGCATCCAGTCCAAACACACAAAGATCAGAACCTGAACCACGGACCGCCGCCCTCTGGGGGGTCAGAACCTGTTCGCCTGCTGACTGCAGCATCAGCCGTCTGATACCTTCCCATCCAGATGATGGCTTCTGGACCACCAGTCCATTTCATCATTCTGCTTCATTCTATCTCTATTCTCCCACTCTGCAGAATCTGTTAGTTCAATCTCTAACGTTCTGCTCTCTCTGCTTTTTCTCATAGTAGCTTCATCTGGTCTGTTCCTGTTTGGCTGTGACTCCATCCTGGAGAGAAATATCAGCTGTGCTGCTGCCATCAACACCTTTGTTTCTAGATGTTGGAGATCGGCCTGTTTTCCAGTGTAGTCCTGTTTCTCTGACTGTGACTAACTGGATGTGCTCTCTTCATCCTCTGACATGGGAGCTGGCTCGGAGCTCGTCTGCCTGGCTGTGTGTTTCCTGGACGGGGCCGCCTGTGGAGCTGGTTGACAGTTGCCTTTTGTATCTATGCTTCTTTTTCTATGTCTGCTTCTGTCTCCTTGAACCCCAGTCAACCTCAGCCGATGGCTGCTCACCCTGACCCTGCTTCTACTGGAGGTTCTTCCTGTTCAACGGGGTTTTTTCCTCTCTACTGTCGCTACAAGCATGCTTAGTGTGAGGGATTGTATTTGAGTCAATGAGTCAATGCAATTAACTGGTTTTCCTTAGATAGAACACTGAATCATTCTGACTGGATGATCTGGTGAACTGGAAAGTGACCTGAGATGACATGATGTGAATTGGAACTATAGAAATAAACTGAATAGAATTCTGATGCTGCTCTGTCCTCCAGCCCAGATGTGTCCAGATGTGTCTCCTACAGAGAGGACAGCATCATGGAGGATACCTCCTGATCAAAGCTGAGCTGCTGAAGCTGTCAGACAGCTGACGTAACTTCCGCAGCCTGTTGCATCAGCTGAGCCTCTGACGTCATCATCATCATGGTCAGACTGTCAGGATCAGTTTCAATCCTGGTTTTTAAAGGCAGGACGTTTCTGACGTCACCCTGTTAGCATTAGCCACTGCAGCTAGCAGCCGGTGTGACAGATCAACTGGGGAGGAGATCAACTGGTGACGGCAGCTGGAAAACCGCGGATTTTGCAGATGTGTCTGTGGGCGGGGCTATTCAGGACCCCTCGCCTCAAACAGGAAGTAAACTGCGTGTAGACTCCAAGAACTACAAATTATTTTGTTAGCTGATCGATACGAAATACGTTGAGATTTTAAGAAGTCGCCTTCACAAAGGTATTTAATTGCATTAAGAAAGCATATAGCATGTTTTAGGGTTTTCTCCAAACCCGCACACAGAGATTTGAGGAACTTGTCCTGCTGTTGTTTATCTGTTTGTTTCAGAGCCTCAGCGATGAGAGAAAGAACCGAGTAGAAAAAACACAGAAAGCTGTATGAGAAGTAAAAACAGCCAGTGCAATAAAAGGTCATTGGGAACAACTAACGGTGTATTTTTTCCATTTTTTTGTCGTCCTGTATGTCTTGTAAGTTAAAACGAGCGAAAATAAAAATTTCCTCTTTTATTTTCTGAAAAGCGCCGACTGTTTATATGGAGGGAAACTAATTACTTACAGCCCAACTCGTTCCCAGAGGAGTTATAAATGTCTTTAAAGTTTAAGGAACAAAGCAAAATAACATAACTGCTGCGGGGAAGAGTGAAATCTCTGAATTCAGTTTATATATTGTGTGAATATATGTGATATTTTGGGCATCGGGGTGAACAAATGCAGAACCTGCTGTACTAAAGCATTAAAAGAAGCAGCACAGCCTCCAGGCTAACTGCTGCCAAACAATTAATAAATAAAAGAGGGAGATTTTACGGTAGATATCTGATCGAAAAAAAAAAAAGATCTGGTTATTATTTTTTCTTTTAATAGCATAACCTACTGTCTAACTATCTCTTAACGGGGAGGCCCCATTCTGTTCTAAGAGTAAAGAAGGAAAAAATAGTAATAATATGTGATATTCTGGAATTCAAACATGTTTTAAGCGATCAGCGGACTCTGAAACATTAACTGTCACCAGTTGATCTAGACCAGCTCTTCAACAGGCAAAGCAGACACACGCAACACGTTCATTATCGCAGGTGGGGTCAGGCGTAGTGTTCGTATCAATAGCTCAGCAGGTAAACAGACGCCCTGCAAATTGAAACAGAATTGAAACATTTTGGCCGCGCGGGTTCGTTACCACATGAACTCTTAAGCCCTCCTTTCATTTTAGCAGATTTTCCACAGATGGGCAAGATAATATTATCTCCTAACTCTGAAATGACAAACATTTCCTCGCAATCAACGTTTTGTGCTGAGTTGCTTTTTGTCATTCTAATTGTACCAGTGAAGCAAACAATTTAGACCAATAGTAAAAAGTAGACAAAACAATACTCTATTGCCAGTAACTTGAAAAACGTGAATGATTTAAAGTTTTTCTGCATGCAAACCAAATAATGTGGCGTCCTCAAAACAATAGAAGGGAATAAGATGATAGCTGACTGCGTGAACATGGTCACACATCATGACAGGTTCGTGGGTAAGAAAAATAATCAACAATAACAGTTAAAAATTTAAATTAGCCTGCTACAACCCTAATTGAGGACAAGATAATAACATCCAAACATCCCAGGAGATGGAGGGTTTTACAGCCCAGATTCCTCCAGATCCGCTGGATCACAAGTTAATCTGTGACACTCTGCAGATTCTGACGCTTTCAGATCCGATGCGTTTATTTGATCCCCAAACTTAAATTACTCATAATATTTCACATTATCCACAGACAACAGACGTGTGTTGGATAGATATTAGGCCAGGATAAATTTTAACCTTTATTCTAACCCGTTTGATTACATTTGCGGTATTTTGATCGGGCAACCACGCAGCCAACTAATCTCTCCAAACAGCTGTGCTGTGGACCCTGTCACAAATTAATCTAGTTCTTCGTTTAAGAAAATCTGCATTTTTCTACAAGATAAAACATAAAGCAGTCATGGCGACCCACACCATAGCGGTAGCTGCTAACTCTGGGATTTAAATTCTACTGTGAAAACAGAAAAAGTAAAGTTTCCGCATCGACAGGTATGTGATTCAGATTCTATGAGCTGCAATGCGCCTAAGTAAATACATTTTACCCCCTTTTTACACATGGGGCAGTAAAACCAGCTCAGCAGCAGCCCGTTATGGTCTCATAACTGGATATTATGAACAGACTGAACACAATAGCAATAAAAATAAAGGTGTTTGACCTGATACAGTTCATCATACGGGACAAAGTTTTGGGATCCACTAAAAAAACAGCAACACCGTAATAGAGACTTGTATTTGTGTCCAGACAGGAGAATAAAGGAAAGATGAGAGCATTGAATCTAAGAAAATAACTTTTTGTCAATATTCAAAAAATAAAGTGGGAATAGTTGGAAGGATGAGAAGCCCACTTGTTCTGTTTGCAGTCGGTTTTTCTTTCAAATGTGCTGCTTACACACGTGCCTTCTGAATGACAGGCCTCATCAATGGATTTATTTTTACATTCAGGAATTTATAAAGTGGGCGGACTTTATTGTCCAAGCTACAGGTTTTCATTTATAGCTTATCGTTCAACAGGAGAAATGACACTCCAGTGTGAGACATACTTTTATTTGTATTTTTTCTTTACACTTGTGAGCGACGCTGTTCTCTGTGTGGGATTCTTTGCACTATATGCTTTGCTTTACCACATCGTTCTAATCTGAAAAAACAAAACAAAACAGAAATTAATTCATTAGATATGTCGGTTGATTTTTTTTGGCGAACAGTTTTGTTACGTTAGGAATATCTTTTTCGCCAGGCATCAACACAGCCACCTAAGCTTCAGTAACATCTGCGGTGCGCATAGATTCTAACCAGTTAATCTTGTCCCCAGTTGATCTGTCACACCGGCTAGCTTCAGCTAGCTAAACACACCGGCTGTTTCCGGAGCAAAACCAGCTGCCGCAGAATCCAGGGGATCCTTGGCAGGTATGGTGTCCGCTGAGGGACATTTAAACGAGAAAACGCCTTTAGCTGTGCTGTGATTGTGGTTTCTCTGAAAGTAGCGGAGTGATGCTAATGATGCAGAGCACGCTGTCCTAGCAGCGCATGTCAGAGCCCGTCCAGCCGGGAGGAGACTGACCTGCTCTTTGTTCGCCTTCTCGGCCTTCAGCTTCCGGACCACCTCCCCCTGGATCTTAATGGCCTCCTGGATCTGAGCTTTGGCTTCCATAGCGTCCTGAAGGTCTGCCTGCAGCCAAGTCCAGCAGCTGTCACACCGGCAGAGGAAAGCGGAAACGCTCCAGAGGACAACTTCCGCTCTGGATTTTCAAAATAAAATCCAGCACTGATGTATTGCTCTGTTTCCCTCAAAGGTGCTTGATGGGTTTTGCTTTGTATCAATTAAAGTCATTGATTGATTGGTGATTATTGAGCCAGATTAGGTGGTCTGCCTTCTCCTATGTTGTTCTAAGATGTTTAATCGACATAAAATCTTCCTTCATGAAAAGAAAACATGACATTTGAGTGTCTGTGACCAACCACAGCTGAAAATGGTGAAAAGCATGGATAAGAGTAGCAACAGATGATGAAGTAATGCAGGAAATTATAATTATACCAGACAAAAAGAAAATATGATAAACATGATGAGCAGCTGGTCTACCTACCATTGTACCACAGCAGAACCATGACAGGCTGGAAAAAATTGAAAAGTATAAGAAGGATTTTCAAAAAGTAATTCTATTTTGATCCATTTTTGAAAATAATTTCCTAGACCATAATGTTTAGTGTTTTATGGCAGAATGACTTTTGCAAGGATCATACAATTTCAAATTGCCTGAGTAAAAAACAGCGGGGGGAAATTTCAAACCTAATGTCTGAAGTTTTTTACTAACAACCACAGGAGTTCCTGTCCCCCACTGGTTTATTCCTTCAAACATTTCCATGTGAATGCTGCACAGTGCTGCAGTGAGTAGCAATGCTGCCTTGCAGCAAGAAGGAGCTGATTTGATTCCCAACCTGGGTTCTTTCTGCATGGAGTTTGCATGTTCTCCCTGAGCATGCGTGGGTTCTCTCCGGGTACTCCAGCTTCCTCCCACAGTCCAAAAACATGACTGTTCTCTAAAATTTCTGTTTTTCTCTGTGTTGCCCTGTGATGGACTGGAAACCTTTCCATGGTGGACTCCACCTCTCCACCGTAGACAGCTGGAGTTAGGCACCAGCGCAACTCGCCACCCTGCATGGGATAAGCGTAACAGAAAATAGATGGATGGATTTCTATTTGACAATGAATGTGTCCAAAAAGATGCTTTTCAAGCTGCTTTGCAAAAGAATTAAAGTCCTTGCCTGTTTCAGCTAAGCCATTAATTCCCGCTAACGACCCCCCCTTCAGAGACTTAGACAGGTATGGGGCATTGCAGGCTAACAAAGAAGCCAAATGACCCCCATTCCAAAGGGGTGGACCCGTTTGTCCGTTTTTATTTGCATGTTTTCTAAGCATAAACAAGGCTTTGTTGGGCTGCTGGATAAAACCTGGAACTCCAAGCTGTTTCTGACATTTTAAATTGAAGAAGCTTCCAGTATGGTAAGAGAAACATCTTCAAACTTGGAAACAAAGTCCAGTGGATTGATTTTAACTTTCTCTTGTTGGGATGTTTGAATCACTCTCAGCCACTTCTTCAGAATTAAATCAGCTGTATTGCTTCCAGAGCCGGGCCTTTACTTCCTGTAGGTGCCGGCAGAGTCAAACCAGGTCCAACCTCACACGGTCACGTCGGGCCGCCGAGGAGGGCCCTCAATCCACTGCTCCTCTCTGGGAAGGCAGAAATGCAAAGAAAATGGCAATGAAACTCTGACAAATAAAGGTGATAATGCAATCTCCATGTACATGATTGGGGAAAGAGACTTCTGATAAGCCGTTTACATCCTGGTTGGAGTCTTTCCTCTGGATATCCCCTGCCTGGGTATTTAATGGGACAATCAGGAATAGACTTTCAAGATTTTTACCTGAAATGAAAGCTATCTGAAACAAAGATCCAAGCTTTGTTTGTTCTGATCATTTATCCCCATTTAGTCATAATGAAAATAAACCAAGTCCCAAATGATTCAAACTGATACACCTTTTTCTGTCAAGATTCATGCTAACACATAAACTGCAGCATGTTCCTGTTTGAACAGGGGCTGCAGTGAACAAACATTCAAAGTCCAAACGTTGCAGCCAACAAGCCCGTCTGTACGACTTCTGTAAGTATGTCTGTAAACCTTGTCTAGGAGCTAAACAGAGTTATGTCTAAGGGCTGCAGTAGAGCTGAGCTAATATCATTTATGGAGTTTTAGAGGTGGTTCAGGAGAGGAGAGCTTTACTGCAGAGATAAAACACTGGAGTCAGAACCTGTTGAAGTCGAAACTAAAGCTACGTTCACACTGCAGGCCTTGATGTTCAGTTCCGATTTTTTTGTGTAATCTGATTCTTTTGCGTCGTCATTAACATTTCCAAACATATGCAACTTATATGAGATCTCCTGTGTTAACCGCATTCATGCAGCTTAAATGTATAGTGGAGGATGTTCTTTTTCCGGGTGGATCATCTAAATAACTGGTCCCCCTAACTGTCAATCATTCAGGTGATATGTTTATGTAAGGCCGTACTACATTCTCCCTTACTGGTGGTGAGTCTTACACAGTGGAATCCTCTTTTGCAAAGTAAGCTTGTATGAGCGATGCAAACAGCACCTTTAAAACAGAGCATGCACGAGGAGAAATGGACTTGTGCACGCTCTGACATGCTTTCAATAGGCGTTCCCTCTCGGGAGCAGGTACAGGGTTGTGCATGTGCATTTCTTTTTATAAAGTCTTTTTCAAAAATTCATGAAAATCCTCCACTATACCTTTAAAGCCTGGTTTATGCTCAGAAACCAGGTCATCTGTGTTTGTGCAGTTAACGTAAATATGCCTCCCCACTTCCGCAGACACTCTGCTGCACCTTTCCAAAATTGTAGGTTACCGCAGACAGTGCTGCAGAAAGGAGGCCTCTAATTGGTCAATTCTACATCCGCTCTACCCTTGCATATTTCCTGTTTGGTACCTCACCGCTTTGTTTTGTTTGTATTTCCGCCATTGTGGAAAACGACTCATGAACATGAAGCTTCTTTCACTTCTCTGCCAGCTCCAGTACCAATATTTCTTCTATCTCTAGATTGATCAGCTGCAACTCAGTTGCATTGGTCCAGTCAATGTTGAATGACCTCCGTAACCGGCAGAGAAACACACATCCCACCCAGTGGCACGGGAAGGGGGGTGCTGCGGGGGCTGCAGCCTCCCTCGTCACAGCATTCAAACACCCCCATGGTGGGGGGCTGATGCAATTGATGCAATTGGTCTAGAAACAAAGGTGTTGATGGAAGCAGCACAGCTGATATTTCTCTCCAGGATGGAGTCACAGCCAAACAGGAACAGACCAGATGAAGCTACTATGAGAAAAAGCAGAGAGAGCAGAACGTTAGAGATTGAACTAACAGATTCTGCAGAGTGGGAGAATAGAGATAGAATGAAGCAGAATGATGAAATGGGGGTCCCTATGTCCTCCAGCAGTCTAAGCCTATAGCAGCATAACTATAGAGATAGCTCAGGATAACCTGAGTCACTCTAACTAGAAGCTTTATCAAAAAGGAAAGTTTTAAGCCTAGCCTTAAAAGTAGACAGGGTGTCTGCCTCACGGACTAAAACTGGTAGTTGGTTCCACAGGAGAGGAGCCTGATAACTAAAAGATCTGCCTCCCATTCTAGTGGGAGAATAGAGATAGAATGGAGCAGAATGATGAAAAGGGGTCCCTATGTCCTCCAGCAGTCTAAGCCTATAGCAGCAGAACTATAGAGATAGCTCAGGACCAATTAGCTACCGGTATGTCTCTTGGCTGTCTCTAGAAAAACTCAGGCTTCCCCCAGCAGAGTTGGAGGTGGTGTCTGGGAAGAAGGAATTAGGTCCATTTATTTTTATTTTCAATATTTCTATCATTCTCATAGTAAATCATCATATCTGGAATGTGCCTTGCAACTATTTCATCATTTGTTTTTTGTTGCCAAACTCTCTTCCAGGTGCAGAGTAGATCCTCATGGAGCTGTCTCCACCTCCCAGAGGCCTAGAGGCTGAGTATGCAGGTCTTTTCACCACTGGCTCCCTCCACTTCCTCCATGAGCTGATTTCCACTTTTGATGCAGAGGTGGAACAGGTAAATTCAAATTCAATACAAATTTAAAAATACTTTATTAATCCCAAAGGGAAATTAAATAATGCAATACCTTGTAGGTTATTTTCAACCCGGTGATGTGGGTTTTGATAGCTGTAGGCAGGACGGATCTACTCTAGAGGTCTGTCTTTCACTGATCTGGATCAGCCTCTGACTGAAGACACTTTGTTGTTGTTTAGAAATCTTCTGAAGACGATGCTTACTGTTGTCCAGAATGTTCTTTCCTTTATGAAGGATTCATCTTTGTAAAATAATCTCCAGAGGAGTTCTTAGAACAGAGTCAGCCTTCTTAATTAGCTTCTGAACTAATTCATTAGCTCTAATGCTGTTACCGCATCAGATGATGGCAGAAGAGATCAAAATGCAAAGACCGAAGGACCTAAGCTTCCTCCAGAAGTCCAGTCCGATCTGTCCCTTCTTGCAGACGGCTTCCTAGTTGTGTCTCCAGTTTGCTGTCCAGCTAACACCAAGGGATTTCTACTCCTCCACCTTTCTGCAGATGAAAGGACAGGGAAAAACACAATTTTATCCCTTACCTTAGTTTTTTTAAATAGATAATTACTCCTCGACTTTTATTCTGGAGGAAAGGAGCAAATATAGAAAGCATGGAGAATTATTAAATAACACTTTTTTCTTTAATGTGTTATTCTTTAGTTTTTTTTATCCCTGACCAAACATTTCTGATATTGTTCTTCTGAGGACTGTTTTCAATTTTCTTCCTCTATGCCTCCTTTTATTTTTCTTATGTACACTAGTTTTTTTTCTTGTTAAGCAGTTCCTTCTGATCGCTTGTGATCTATGGTTTAATATTTGGGAAGCCTTTCATTGTTCTGGTAGGGATGGTGTTATCTACACAGGACTTTATGTAGTCAGTCAAACACTCTGTGCAGTCTTTAGCCATAGAACAACCTTGCAGGGCTTCTTCAGCTTCCTGTGACCATCCTCTTACAGTTCTTTTTATTGCAGGTTGTTCTTATAACTTGGCTTGTACTCTGAGCAAAAAAAACAAAAAAACAAAAACAAGATTGTGATCTGATTTCCCAAGAGGAGGTCTAACTCCAGAGATGTAGGAATCCTTGACATAAAAGAATAAGTCTAAAATTTGTTTTCTCTGGTTCAGCAGCTGACAAACTGTCGGAATGTTTACAGTGTAGCAGAGAGTGAGACGTGATAAAAATCAATAGTTGTTGCCACAAATGCATTTGGCTGTTGCTTTTCTTGCCAAGCATGAACTGAACTGTTTAGATCACATGCATTGCCGTCAACAGCAGAAGGTGGAATATAAACAGTTACTAACAGAACAATGCTGAACTCTCTGAGCTAATAATATGGATAAAAAAAACAACTGCCAACAGATCAATATCTGGCTGCAGTGATGAATCTTCACAGAATCATGTCCTGGGTGACACCATCTGTTGTTCACAAGCACTGCCAACCTACTTCCTTTGAATTTCCCAGTCTTCTTTTAACTCTTTCTGCTCGTATGGTCAGAAAGCCTGGCGGAGGGACGCTTGAGTCTGAGATATGATCCAGCAGCCATGTTTCAGTAAAACACATAATGCTGCATTGCTGATATTCTGGCTGGGTCCTTGGTAGGGCTTGGAGTTCTATCTTGTTTCCTAAAGATCTCACATTGCCCATGATAATTAAATGAATGAATAAATTTAAATGTCTTGTTCCTCTCTCTTCTTCTTGCTTCTGCTCTGCATCCCCAGCGCCTCCGTTTCAACTCAGCTGTAATTTGCTGAAGTATTTAAAGTATTATTTCAGGTTTAGAGATGTTAACAAGCTGCTTATGGGTGTAGGAAAATAAACTAGGGTTGCTGTGGTTATGCATCATAACAAGTATCCACAAAGTACAAAAGCATCAGTGGAAATCCCTCCAGTTTTACATTTCTTTCATCAACTAAGGCAAAAAACTTCAGGAAACAGCAACTCCAATTCAGAAACGGAGGAATTAAAGTTCTCTTAAAGAACATCGGAGGCCAGCTAGCAGAGCTGCTCCAACATGCAGCCAGTTTAAGCCGTGTGATTCTATCAAAAGGAGCTCAGAAGGACATCTTTGAACTGAAGGAATGAGGGACAGGATCTCTTTATCCTTTTATTCTTTAGATCCTTCAGCTGAGAGCGTCCAGGAAAGCTCAGCTGGATCTTTCAGGTGAACTCCCAACTTTCTTAGAAAGCACCGCACACATCAGGGAGGACCCAGACTGGAGGGTGCTCCCCGTCCCAACCAGGCTCCAGAAAAGGCACGTTGACATTGGAGATATGGCCCCCTTCGACACGGGTCGCTTCCTGAGAGCACTGCGCTCTCCAGCACAAGGCATTCAGGTGAAGCACATTCATGGTTGAATAAATGAATGAATGAATGAATGAATGAATGAATGAATGAATGAATGAATGAATGAATGAATGAATGAATGAATGAATGAAGAATGGATGAATAGCAGCTGAGCTACACGCAGGGCGGGATTTACCATTAGGCAATACTAGGCAGTTGCCTAGGGCCCCAAGTTCCTGGGGGCCCCATAAAACTCTGTTTCCATGTATGGTTAATACAACCTTTTCTTATTTGTCCACATTAATTATGTTTTTGATAAAAATCATTTGGCTAAAATGCCATCAGAACGCTGATAATATTAAGTGTGTCTGTTTTATGGGTTGTCTTCTCACTCAGAGGGCCCCCTGCCTATCTTTGCCTAGGGCCCCAAATTTCTTAAATCCGCCCCTGGCTACAGGTAGAGCAGCTTTATTTTTTATATTTGCTTTCTTCTTTAGATAATTGGCTTTTCTATCGTAATTTCTGTATGTTGGACATGAAAACAGAGTACTACCCAACTAGAGAGGATATGGTTTGATAAAGGAAAGGATCAAAAAATAAAACAGTGCCTGGAAGGTCTCCACGTTCTGTCACATGATTACCCACAACTGCACTGGTCTGTAAAATAAGTGTTTGCCAGGTTAAAAAAGAAAGGTGCCACAATGAGGCATGGTTTTCATTTTATTCCTGAAACATACCTGGAAAGTCAGGTGTGGCTTCGTGTTTACGCCCTTTTATCTCTGATATCTCTGAGGAGGATTTTACGGAAGTCACCTTGAAATATTTCTGGGATTAGTGTTCAAAACCATGACTGATTCACCTGATCACAGTTTAACCAGATCACTCTTCAACCTAAACAACAGCCAGTCGGATCAAAGTCCAATCTGATCGACAATCGAACAGATCAATGGATAAAAAGGCGATCTGATCACTGTCTGCATTTGGTTGAAAAGTTAAAAGCTGTAATATTCAGATAATTAAAATCTGGGTTTTCAGCTTCTATTATTAGACTAATAATAATAATTGAACTTTATTGATCTCACATTGGATTTAACCTCTGCATTTAGCTCCCTGTCAGGTTCTTGTTGTGTTCTCTGCATCCCCCCACATGCAGGGATATCTCCTGATTTGCTAATTGGTTCTGAGTTTTTATTCGGACCTTCAGTCCTTCCATTGTTTAAAGCTTCAACTATCAGCTCTTCTTTTCCTTCCTCTCAGGTTGACTTTGATGATGGGAACTGTCCAACTTTCCACAACCAGATCAAAGGTCTTCACAACGTCCTTCTGGCAGTGAGCAACCGGCTCCCTGGTGAGTGTCGGACTTCTACTTGGGCAATTTTTCAGCTGTGACTTTGCACTGCTTAAGAATATTTAGGGGAGTATCATGAGTCCTGATGTTCTTATGATTTCTGTTTGGGGGGATCAGATGTCCCTCACATTTCCCAGGCTCCGGTGCTGATGCTGCGTCCCCGGGCCTGGAACATGGTGGAGCACCACATGATGGTAACATGGACACTCTGCTTTTACCTTTTTAAGGCCACTTTAGTGTTCATTAGTGTACTAAAAGGTGCTGATGATCAGTCATAGGGGGTCATTGAGGCTAATGGGTTTGAAAGTCTTAAAAGTGTTTAACATGCTAATGTTTGCTAAAACCCTCAGGTGGAGGGAAAGGAGGCTCCTGGTCCTCTCTTTGACTTTGGACTCCTCATGTATCACTGTGGAAGGACACTGCTGGAGAACCACAGTGGACCATTTTTCTACCTGTCCAAGGTAAACCCAAACACATGTATGGTTCACAGATAGGTTTCTAGAGCTGCCCAACTGGGTTTTTCTTCAGCTTCCCAGTTTCTTTGGCTGGGGGGGCAGCAGCTCAGAAGGTGGGGGCTTGTTCTGTAACCAGTGGGTTGCTAGTTTAAGCCCCTACTCTGTCTTTTTCATAGCTGCATAAGTGAAAGACACTTTACCCGCCTTGCCCACTGTTGGAAGTCAGAGGGTATAGTGGTGCCACTCAGGGGGGGATTTACCATTAGGCAATACTAGGCAGTTGCCTGGGGCCCCAATTTCCTGGGGGCCCCATAAAACTCTGTTTCCATGTATGGTTAATACAACTATTCCTTATTTGTGCACATTAATTATGTTTTTGATAAAAATCCTGTGGCTAAAATGTCATCAGAACGCTGATAATATTAAGTGTGTCTCAGCCCCCCCCCCCCCCATCAGTGTCCACCATATTGGATCAGTCCATTTGCTGCACATGTTCAGAAAGGTCCAAACAGACAGCAGCAAACCATTTGAAAACAAACCATGCAAAGAGCAGTGTTGCCAACTTAGCGCTTTAGTCGCTATATTTAGCCACTTTTCAGACCCCTCTAGCACTTTGATTTCTAAAAAGCTCCTAGCGCCAAATCTAGAGACTTTTTTCTGCTACTGGAGACTTTGGAGACAACATCTAAAAGCAGCGAACTCTGCTCTCCAGAGCGAGTAGATTGGTAACCCCGCCTCCTGCTCTCCTCTATCTTGTCTGCTGTCATGATTCATGCAGCTATTATTTCATCCAAATGAAAAATGGAGAACAGATAAGCAGATCATGGCTTGTCTACAGTGAAAAGAAGGACTGGGTTATTTACTTTGGCCTTTTTGGAAACACAGGAAGGAGCAATCAGCTAAGTGAGCTTAGTGCTTGGAAAAAATCTTTCATTCCTTTAGAGACAGCATGAAAAGTCAGCTGAGTACAAAACATAGAGAGGAAAACAAGAAGAAAAGGGACAAGAAGAGAGGGACACAACCTAGAACAGATAATGGATGTCTATTCTATTAACATTTCTCTATCTGGATAATGGGGCTGTTCTATGTATTCTCTATTCAGAGGGCCCCTGCCTGTCTTTGCACAGGGCCCCACATTTCCTAAATCCGCCCCTGGCTACAGCCGAGCAGATTTTCTGTGTCTCTTTCAAAGCTGGATGGTTAACTGAAATGTTTCAGCTTTGCCTTCATTTGCAGGTGGAGAGCCTGATGGAGGCCAGGCTGTGGAACAACATCTTCATCTGGACGCAGCAGAAGGTCAGACTGCAGCGTTTTTGTTTTCAGTTAAAATAATGATTCCAGCTCGCCATCAAGTTGAGGGATGAAATCAGAACCGTTTTGTTTTTAAAATTAGATCATATAAATTAGATCATATACATAATAAATTCCTGTCTGAACGAGTGGATGGATCACAGCTGTAACATCAAGAACTCAAGCATTAGAAATCTGTGTACATTCAGTTTATTTCTATAGCACCAAATCACAACACATGTCACCACAAGGCACTCTAAAGTTCACCAGATCATCCAGTCAGATTGATTCAAAGTTTTCTTTCTAAGGAAAACCAGCTGATTGCATCGACCCATTGACTTTTCAGCAATACAAGCATGCTTGTAGCGACAGTGGAGAGGAAAAACTCCCTTTTAACAGGAAGAAACCTCCAGCAGAACCAGGCTCAGTGTGAGCGGCCACCTGCTGAGGCCCACTGGGGTTCAAGGAGACAGAAGCAGACATAGAAAAAGAAGCATAGATACAAAAGGCAACTGTAAAAGGTGACCCTGCCAGGAAACATTCAGCCTTTTCTTCCGCAGTGCGAACAGACCTGGCTGAGCATTTAGTGGCACATCAGAAGGTTGATATCCAAATGATCTGAATTACTTTAGGAGTCCCACAGGACAGTTCTTTGGTTCCTTTGAGGTGTGGAGAGATGTGGGTGAATGAGATGTTCTCTGTGTGCAGCTTGGCCTGCCGCTGGGCTGCATAAAGGCGACGGTGCTGATAGAAAACGTCTTGGCAACATTTGAAATGGACGAGATCCTCTACGAGCTGCGGGAACACTCGGCAGGGCTCAACTGTGGCATCTGGGACTACTCTGCCTCCTTTGTCAATAAGTTTGGTGAGACAGACACGGTTCCCGCTGCTTCGGCAGGCCAGGCTTTTAGAAGGAGCCACTGCTCTACAGATGCCACCTCTTCTAGGTCACCGTCAGGACTTCCTGCTGCCAGACCGCAGCAAGTACGTCAACATGGAGAAGCGTTTTCTGCGCAGCTACATGGACCTGCTGGTCCAGACGTGTCACCGACGTGGAGCGCTGGCCACAGGAGGCATGGCCGCCCTGCTGCTGCCTCCCAGGCACCAGGAGGACTCCTACCGCAGGGTGCTGGCCTCCGTGGAAAGGTAAAAAACCCCTAAGATCAGGCAGCGCCGAGCACAGCAGAAAAGGCCTCATAATGTCTAACAGACACGGTTTTTTCATAGGGGCATAGAAACAAAGCCTAAAGTAACAGGTAATAGTTAGATGTATTAAGTGAGCCAGAGACACTTGCAGCCCTGCAGATGAGATAAAAACTGTGATCCAACAGTGAGACAGTTCTACAGGCAACCAGCTTGGTTACTGCAGTTATGAGATACTCCTGGCAGCAGCGGCTAAAGCTAGTCTTTAATGTGTGCAGTAAAGAACTTTTTAAATATATGCCCAGTATTAAATATTGTCTGTACCAAACGCTTTAAAGGTTACCTTACAAGATAGATGAATGTCGTGATATTTGGGAATTCGCCAGAAACCAATAGATCAGGGGGAACCAATTACAAACCATAGGGGTCCAAATAAAGAAAATCATCAACCAGTAAAGGTCCGCAGACATTTTTAATTATAATCTGCTACTTTAAACAGAATTTAACACTGAAGTAAAATTAGGTGTTTATGCATCCATGATGTACTAATAAAAAAAAAATAGAACATTTTTTTTACATTTTAAAATCTAAAAAGTGCGTAGAGAACAATAATCGTTCAGTTTGGTTTATAGACAATATCCTGACTCACCTTTTTTTTAATAAAACACCTGAACTGAGCATTTGTTATTTTCTTTCTTTTTTCTGTCTTAATGTTGGCAGTGGGCTTTAGGCTGCCCTGCAAAGCTTTAAACCTGGGTTTGAATGGAGACTAAGTCATTCTCAAGCACATATCAAGGAGCTCATTTTGAGCCTGGATCCAGATTTATTGTTGATTCTGTTCATGGTGGAGAATCCTGCTTCACAGCAGCAGGTTGAGTCAAACATCCTCTAAATGTTCAGGGTCATCTTTGAGCACCATTTCACTTTTCTTTCACCAGTTCACCACAGTTCTTCCAGCAGTCCACACTTTCTCTGCTCTCTTTTTCTCTTCTCCTTCTTTCCAATCGACCCCCATTCCAAAGGGGTGGACCCGTTCATCTGTTTCTATTTGCATGTTTTCTAAACTAAAACAAGGCTTTGTTGCGCTGCTGGATAAAACCTGGAACTAAACGCTATTTCTGACATTTTGAATAGAAAAAGCTTCCTGGATGGAAGAGAAACGTCTTCAAACTTGGAAACAAAGTCCAATGGATTGTTTTTTTTTTTTTCAATTTCTGGGAATGACTATGACCTGGATGACTGAGAATCTTCACCAGCAGCGTGCTTTTATATTCTAGATGCTCATTGATGTATTCTGATGTTTGTTTTTAGGATGATGATTTTTATTTCTGCTATTAATATAATTATCATATCAGGACATTACTGATCCTTTTATTAATAGTAGAAAAAAACCTACCCAACAGTTCTGAGCTGTGTTTCTTTGTAATGAAATGACATCCGGTTCCAACAGAAATGGCGGCTGTGTCCCAATGTCCGCCCTGATCCCTACATAGGGCAATACAGTATACAGTGGTTACGCCATATTGAGTGTCCGAATGTCTAGTGAATGAAAAAGTAGTGGGCTCGAAACTTCCCACAATGCACCTGGAAAAGTAGTGATCATCAGGAGACCTCTCCTCGCAAAGCATCATGAGTTTTTTTGTGACAGCGGCGACAAATAACAAAGATGGCGCAGGCAACGTGTGGGGGGGCAAAGTCATGTGACCAGCGGCGATCGAAAAGTAGTGATCATCAGTCTGAACAGTCAGTTAAAGTTCACTATAAGGTCCACCACAGTGTCCCCTCTCTATGTAGCAATGGAGGTATTTAGGGGTTAGGGCGGACATCCGGACGCAGCCATAAACACCTGGTTGGTGATTCCCAGCTGGTACGCATGAGATGATGGATTCGTCTCACCCCTCGTTTGTTACAGTCACGCCTAGGAGTGAAAAGTCTGCTGTTCTTTGGGGTAAAGTCCTCTGGTCTTTCTGAGCCAGTAATAAACTTCCTCTTTTTTTGGCTTCTAGACTGAAGCTGTTAGAAATCAAAGCAGGCGTTGACGGCTTCATGGTGTACGACATGGATTTGATCGAACCTATGCAGAAAGTAAGTTCCCCTACCGGATAGAGCGTCTCTTACGGGCTCGTTCTGATGGATGGGTTTCCATGGAAACTGAGGCTTCAGGTTATAGCATCACAATAACCCTGCCTGTGATCGAAGGACAGCGCTGATGGTTCTTCTCTTCCAGCTCTTTAAGCTTCACAGCAAGGGTTGCAACCAGCTGGACCAGCTCCGAGGAGACGTGGCTGTGACTCCTGAGGATCTGCTGTCCATGCCCGCGGTCAGTGAGCTCTGTCCGAGCACCATGCAGCTACACAGCGTCTGACTGACTCAGCTCTGCTGTTTTTCTCAGGGAGGAGTCACCCTTCATGGGCTGAGGTATAACATCGCAGTGGGCGTGCTCTTCATTAACGCATGGCTGGCTGGTGAGTTCTTGCGGGGGGGATGTTGCAGCGGCGGATAACCCAGTCCTTCTTTTCACTGTAGACAAGCCATGATCTGCTTCTCTGTTCTCCATTTTTCATTTGGATGAAATAATAGCTGCATGAATCATGACAGCAGACAAGATAGAGGAGAGCAGGAGGCGGGGTTACCAATCTACTCGCTCTGGAGAGCAGAGTTCGCTGCTTTTAGATGTTGTCTCCAAAGTCTCCAGTAGCAGAAAAAAGTCGCTAGATTTGACACCTGTTCCTACCCACCCACCCCCTTGCTTTCTGTCCTTTTGATTGAATGATAAAGAAACAAATCTACCTTGATAGCAGATCGCATCAGAGCGTCGGGTTGCACAGTGAGAACAAACATGGTGAGCTGTGAACTTTTAAACCCTGCAGGTTCATCGTACAGAGTGAGCTGTAGCTGTGTGCAAAATATCGTACAGTGTATGCCCGGCTTATGTCTCCTCTATGTGTCTGTGAAGAGGATCACAACATTTCATTGATGCCGTCTTCCCCATACAGACAGTCAGAATCTGTGTGGTTCCTGCTTAGAGCTCACAGATCAGGAGAATAACTGCTGAAGGCATCATGGCTAATTTTCCAAATTGAAAGTTTGAATATGATGAAATAAGTCTAAGAAGATTTAAAGATGACGGTTAAACTCCATGCTGTGTTCCAGGGAGAGGCCATTTTTTCTACAGAGGGCAGGTGGAGGATTCAGCCACAGCAGAGATCTCAAGATCCCAGGTAGGTCTGAGAAACATTCCTGATCCAACAAACCACGGCGGACTAGAAACATCTAAGGCAAACAGAACCGTGTTTACATTCAGACTCAGTGGGATGTTGGTTTTTCACCAACCCAAAGCAGAAGTCTCAAAGAAAAGGACTTGCAGGACATTTTGTCCCTCATTCCAGAAAGTGAAACCCACATTTTATAGATCCATTAACCATAGAAGCGTTTGAAGCATTCGGTATCTAAGGATATTACACTTCTTTTTTTTTTTTCAATTTTTATTTATTTTAGTTAACTCAGTAAACAATACATTCCAAGGCAATATGGAATATAAAAAAACACAGAACAAAAACAAACCAAAGCATAACACCATAGCAGAGCCTGTATATAGTTATGTAACATCCAGTATCTCCTTATATTTCAGCCATTTCCCCCATCTTTTTACAAATAGGTCTTCTTTCACTTTTAACTTGTGTGTCAGTTGTTCCATTGTCAATATGTCGTCTATAATTGACATCCATTGTTTGTTGCTAGGGGGGTCAGATTTAAGCCAGTTTTTAGTAATGGCCTTCTTCCCAGCCACCAGGAGAATCTTAATCAGGTATTGGTTTCCTGCATGTACTGATCCCTCCAAATGTCTGAGGTACAAAACAAGACAAGATTTAGAAATCACATATCCCAAGACATTGCAGAGAACCGAGTGAACATTCTCCCAGAAGGGCTGTATGTTGGTACATTTCCAGAATATGTGTGTGTGATCTGAATCCATATCACTGCACAGTCTCCAGCTTGGTTGGGGAGTGTTCGACTGTTTGCTTTTGATTCTTGGTGTGATGAAATATCTAATTAAGTTCTTCCAATTAAATTATCTCCATGTCAGTGACTGTGTAGTATTCTGGTGTGTTTTCCACAAATCCTGCCACATTCCCTCTGAAATCCCTTCACCCAGCTCCCTTTCCCATTTGACTTTCACATATAATGTTGATTCTTTTTTGGATTCCATTAAACAGCCATATATAACTGATACTGCTTTTGGAATACTGTCACTATATGCCTGAACCAGTATTTTTATGATGGGGTGAATTCTATCCTCATTTGTTTTAATATTTTTGGAATAGTAATCCCTCAACTGCAAATATCTGAATAAGTCCTTATTAGTTAGATTATGTGCATTTTTTAATTCTTGAAAACTTTTCATTTCTCCTTTTTTGATAATTTTGCACATGGCTGTAATTCCTTCTTCTGCCCAAAGTTTAAATGTTTCATCATATTTTCCTGGCACAAATTTATCATCAAATGCAATCCATTTTAATAGTCCAATTTCCTTACCTATTTTTAGTCTTTTCACTATGGAATACCATATATCCAAAGTGCAGGATATCACTGGGTTAGGGTCATTTTCCCCTCTCAACCACGCAGAAGATTCTAATTCACCTATATTTGCTTGAATTGGGTTTTTATGTATAGATATCTCAATATCTTTCCATCGAGCTACATATCGCTCATCACACCAGTAGATTAAATGACGTAGCTGAGCAGCATGAAAGTATTCTTTCAAATTTGGGAGTGCCAATCCCCCTTTATCTTTAGGTAATTGTACAGTAGTGTAGCGGATTCTGGGTCGTTTACCTCCCCACACAAACCTTGATATGCATTTGTCCCACTTATAAAACTGCTCTTTTGATATGTGTACTGGTAGGGATAGAAATACATATAGCAAACGTGGCAAGATGTTCATTTTTACCACATTTATCCTATCAGTTAATCCCATCGGGTAGGTACTCCATCTCTCAATATCTTCCCTTATGTTTTTGTCAATGTGTAAATAGTTACTTTTATATAATTTGGGAAGATCTCTAGTTATGTTTATGCCCAAATACTTAATTGATTTAGCTGCCCAGTTTATGCCCCATTCCCTGAGTTCTTGACTTGGTGAGCAATTAAACATGAGAGTTTGAGTTTTAAGTATATTTACTTTGTAACCTGAGTATAAACCGAATCTTTCCAGAGTTTTTGTCAGATACTTAAATGAATTAACTGGGTTTTCTAGGTATATTATAATATCATCAGCAAACAGACCTATTACATGTTTTTGTTTATTTATATCTATACCTTTTATTAAGGGGTCCTGTCTCACCATCTGGGCCAACGGCTCAATGTATAGGGCAAACAGTGTTGGGCTAAGGCAACAGCCCTGTCTGGTTCCTCTTCCCAGAGTGAATCTTCCTGACAAAGAGCCATTGACCTTTACCCTAGCTGTAGGTTTGCTATAGATAGACCTGATGCATTGAATTGACTTAGTATTAAATCCAAATTTTCCCAAAGTTAAATATAAAAATTCCCAATTTACTCTGTCAAATGCTTTTTCAGCATCTAAGCTAATCAAAGCTGCTGGTATAGTGTCTTTATGTATTTTATGGATAATATGTAATGTTCTCCTAATATTATCTTGCGTTTGTCTATCCCTAACAAACCCACATTGGTCCTCATCTATCAGGTCTGGTACAAATGTTTGGAGTCTCTTTGATATAATTGAAGTGTACATTTTGTAGTCCACATTTAATACTGATATCGGTCTATAATTTTGACAGTAGTCCTTGTCTTTTAGGGGTTTGGGGAGAACTGTAATGATTGCTTCCGTCCAGGAGGGGGGGACTCTGTCATCACTCATAACCCAATTAAAAGTTCTGTGGAGTAGAGGTGTTAGTTCTTCGCTGAACTTTTTATACCATACGGAAGTAAATCCATCACTACCAGGTGCCTTATTGGATTTTAATTTGCCAATTGCATCCCGAATTTCACTGGTTGTTATTTTTGCCGTTACCTGTTCATTTTGTTTTGTGCCTATTGAAGGGAGGTCCAGGGAGTCAAGGAACATTTTAATGTTTTTCTGATTCAAAGCCGATGACTCAGTGTAGAGTTCTTTATAATATTCTCTAAAAATATTTTCAATTTCTTCTTGTTTATATTTGGGTTGATTTGTTTTTGGGTCATAAATTTTGTTGACTGTGGTTTCTGCTCGTTGTTTCCGTAAGCGTCTCGCCAACAGTTTCATTGCTTTCGGGCCTGATTCATAATAGTTTTGTTTCAAATATCTTGCTTTTGTTTCTACTTCGTGATGTAGTAGGTTGTTAATTTCCTTTCTCACCTCATTCATTCGTTTATTAATGTTTGGGTCAACTTTTCTGTTTCCCTTGTGTTTCTGTTCTAAATGTCTCAATTCCTCTATATAAATTTTATATTGTTTTATTCTTTCTCTTTTGAGATTACTTGTAATTGCAATCAGTTTACCTCTTATCACTGCTTTTAAGGCATCCCAAAGTATTGCTGGATTTGTTTCCTCATTATCATTTTCCTCCAAGTAGGTCCGTATTTCTGCCCTAATTTGCTCAACAACTGATTTGTTGCTTAGTATCCCCTCATTTAGCCTCCATAATGTATTTTTTTGTCTACAGTTCAAGTGTGTCTTCAAATATATGGCATTATGGTCGGAAACATCTGTCCCTCCAATCCAACTATCTTGTATTATATCTCTATTTTCAGTCTGCATGAAAAAATAATCAATCCTAGAGTAAACAGAATGTGACCTTGAGTAATGACTAAAATCCCTCCACAGTGGATGCAGATCTCTCCACACATCAAAAAAACCCAACTCCTCCCATGTATTCCTGACCAGTTTTGTAATAGATTTCTTATTTTTCTTAAGGCTGGTTGTATCTAAGTCATAGTCCATTATCACATTCAGGTCTCCCCCGCATATACATATACCTTCAGCCTCCATAGCAATGATATCAAATAGTGACTTAAAAAAAATCTTATTACTCTCAGGAGGGGCATATATATTTACTAACGTTATCATTATTTGGTCTATTTTCCCTTTTACAATAATGTAAGTTCCCTCTTTATCTTTTATTTCCTTTGTGCACACAAAATTTATTACGTTGGACATCAGTATTGCAACTCCTCTTTTCCGAGCATTAGAATATGAGCTGTAAAAGGTATTCTTGAAACCAAATTTCTTTAATTTCTCATGTTCTGCTTTACTAAGATGAGTTTCTTGTAGGAAGTTGATTTGCGCCTTTTCTTTTTTAAGCTTGGACATTATTTTGGCTCTTTTGACTGGGTTTCCCAGGCCATTAACATTTAAAGACAGAATCTTAATTACTACTTGCTTAGTACCCATATATTACCTTTGTTTTGATAACATCTTGAAGATTAATCAACAGGCTTTCAGTTAAACAGTCATGAACCATCAACATTTTTTGTAACTGTTTAAAACTTATTTGAACTATACACAAAAAAAAAGAAAGTGAACTCCATAAAGAGATGTCAACAACCCTCCTCTTCTGCTGACTCTCTTTTTGATTTGAGGGGGAAAGCCTTACCAACAGCAAGGACCCCCTTCCAGTAATGAGATTTAACCCATGTAGGATTAATATACCCATACCAGACCTTGCAGCTGCATTACAGTCCCTTTTAGGCTAACAGTCTATTAATTTATGACCCATCATAACAACAAAAATTGTATACTCAGGTAAATTTTACCTTTCTGTAGCAGGACAAGTGATACCAAACCCATGTCTATCTATATTAAAGTTTATACTGGTGCACGTATTCAGCCTGTGTTTTTTCCTCTCAGGCGGTATTCTTGCAGTCGTCCCCGCGTGCGTCTGCCGGCCTCTCCAGTGCGTCCGCTCCCGGTTTGCTTCCATGTCGCGGTCCCGGTCGACAGCATCCTTGTAGCATGCGTGGTCTCCCCACTGTTTGTCCCTGCGTCATCCACTTCATATCCTCTTGCCCGTAGGTCGCTGTTCGCCTCCTCTGCACTAGAATATTACACTTTTACCTCTAATACAAAAATGATCTCTAATGTGATGATGGCCATAAAGCTGGTCAATTAAAAAACACTGAACTGTAAAAATCAACAATCAGCCGTTTAAAATCAATACAGAGTCATCAGCTGCTACAGCACCCCCCACTACTGCATCACCACAGGTCTCAGACCTCTGATTTAGTCCATTGGATTAAGGTCCAGAGTCCAGAATTTATGGTTCTTCAAGTCTGCTGTAGTTCCTCACTGATGTTTGGTGCCATGTAGAAATGCACGATATTGGGATTTTGGCCGATATCCGATATGCCGATATTTTAAAACTCATGTAGCCGATAACCGATATCGATACCGATGTTAAAGCTGGACAAAAATAAGTAGTCATTGAAAATAGCAGTTTTGTTATCCATTTCTGACACTTTGAAAAATAATATAGTCAAATATATTTTCATATGCTGATATCAAATTGATTTTTAAAAACGCGGTATCGATCTATTTTACTTTCAAAATCTCGTGAAATCTCATCGTTCTGTTACAAAATCTCGTGATATTTTGCAAATTCTTGTGAGATTTTGTTAGTAAGATACCGCGTCAATATATCAACATATAAAGTATGGCAAAATTTCGTTAATTTTCGGGGGATTTCGTAGCGTAACGATGACATATAGCAATATTTCATTAGTAAAAGAGATTGATATGGTGTTTTTAAATGGCAAAATATCAGCATATAAAGATATTGTGATATTTTAATGTATCGATATTTTTTCCCTCGTCTTTGGAAGTTTTTAAGTCTGTAAAAAAGAAGTTTTTGAGGAAGAAGAAGAAGTGGTATTTTTTATTTTTTTTTGGAGACTTTAGAAACTCAGAAGCTGATCAAATATCGGGTTAAATATCGGTGGGGTGGCCGATGTCCGATATTCAGTTTTAAGGCCGATACAGGCCGATACCGATAGGGGGCCGATTATATCGTGCATCCCTAGTGCCATGTTCTGGTCCTGGTCCACCGGGTTCCCTGCAGTTCACATTCAACGCAGCCTCAACCAGAACCTGATGCTCATCATCCTCCACCAGGACTGAATCGGGGGGGCAGCAGAGACACCCAGACTTCCTTCACCTCAGCCTTGGCTGAAGCTGGACGAGGTGCGGTTTGGTTTGGCCGAGTCCTTCCGGTTTCCTGCTCTTCCACTGCATCAAGCTCACCACTGGGTGGTGGTCGGTGGACAGCTACGCCCTTTTCTTCACCAGTGTCCAAGATAAGCAGCTAGCATGCAGCCTAGGATGTCCTTTTGCACCAATGGACATCCATATGCCTGAACATGGTTCTCATTATGAACAGAAGAAACACCACAGGGTTTCAGAGCTGGGGGTCCGTTCCTCCTGATAATGCCCCTCCAGATGTCACTGTGGTTTCCCACATGGAAGTTGAAGTCCCCCAGCAGAATGAACCCCAGGAAGGGGGCTATCCAACCCCCCTCCCCCCAGGACACCAACAAGGCCTGGCACTCCGTCCTGCTGTTCGGCACATGCCCCTGAAACAACGTAGAGATCTACCCCCCACCTGAAGACAAAGGGGTGCAACCCTCTCGTCCACCAGGGTAAACTCTGACAGAAGGCAGCTGAGCAAACCCACCCCACCCCAGCCCAGGCCAAGGGACTCTCAAGAGTAGAAACGAGGAGCTGGGTTGCAGAGCTGAGCTCGGGCTCTAGCCGGTACCGCTCCACCTCCCGCTTAGCCACAGGCTCTGGGATCAGGTCACCTTTGTCTGCTCTCTGTACCGGTCCCTCATGGTTCCTCTGCAGGTGGTGGAACCACTGGGTTCTCAGCCCGGCCAGGTCCTATGAGGAGGAACCCGACCACTAGGTGAACAAACTCAACCCCAGGCTATGCTCCACCGTACCAAGGGGCTTTTTTGACGGCTCCATGTCTGACCCGTCACCCAGAATCTTTTTGTCCTGGCCTCTGTGATCATGGGGGCAGTAGAACCAGTACCCCCCCGTACGGTTGTGGTTTGAGCAGCGACTCCATGCTAAGCTTCATTGAGACGTTGGTTTCAGCAGGACTTGGTACCGACCCACACTGCCACAGGTGCCAAATGCTGCTCATTAAAGATGGTGCTGGGCTTGATTAGCCAGCAAACGGGCTTGATCAGAACCCTATGGAGGCTCTATGGTTGTCCAGAGGGAGATGAGTCCCTCCAGAACCAACCATGCCATCATAGCGACCTGGGCTTCCATTGGACCCCAGAGTTATCTTCATAATCAGAATCAACGCGGGCGATTTTTGATTCTATGTTTCATAGATCTATAGAATGCCTTTCTGGAATGATTTAGAACTTCTTATGAGGGTCCCACATTTTTAAAAGAGCCAGAACCCAGATAAAATTCTACTGCACGGATGTGGACCCAGATGGAAAGGTTCTGGTTAAGGTCCAAAGTTCAAACCGAACTTAAGCAGAAGGCTTGGAACCTTTCAAGGGTGAAACGCTTATGATCCTGGTTCATAGTTCTGGATGTAGTTCTGCAGAACTCATGGCCCGCTTTAACCAACTGCTTCATGTTCTGTCAGGTGTGGCAGTGGATCCGTCACCAGGCCCGGCTGGAGGAAGACGGCAGGGTGGTGAGCCGGCAGCTGGTGACCCGGCTCACCAAGGAGCTCAGCGCTGAACTTGGTCCACTGGCTGGTTCTGAAAGGTGAGCAGCTTCAAGCATCAGTGCTGTTGACCCAATCACACGTGTGTGGTTCTGCTAGATGACCCAAAACAACCTTAGTGGAACTAAAGGGTTCCTGAATGTACTGGTTGATTTGCTGCAGGATGGAACAGAACCTCCACACAGCAGCAGACATGTTCCTGGAGGTGGTTCTGAAGAGACACTTCCCAGAGTTCCTCACCTCATACTTGAACCTGGACCACACCTTCCTCCGCTCCCACAGCAGGAGGGAGGAAGGCCGATGGCGCGCCAGGCTGTGAGGAGAGAGCAGGACCAGGTTCTCCTTCCACCAAACCTTCCAGCACCACAGAAGAACAGGTTCTGTTCTTAGGGTCCAGAACCAGCTAAAACCCAGGAAGGAGTTATGTTCTAGAATCAGGCCGGTTCTGATGTCTGAAGCTGAGCGGTTGGACCGGTTCTGAGCTTCCTGCTCATCGGAAAGCTGGGAGATCAGAACCAAGCAAATGGGTCTTAATCTAAACCAGGGCTTCTTAACCCTGGTCCTCAGTGCCCACAGTCCTTCATGTTTTAAATGTGTCTCTGATTCAAAGGACTGCATTTCCTCAAATGCTGCAAAGAATGTTAATTACCTTTTCATTCAGGTCAGGTGTGTGGAAGCAGGGAAACACCTAAGACATGGAGTGGGCCCTGAGGACCAGGGTTAGCAAACCCTGATCTAAACAATGTTCATCAATAAATCCTCTCCTGCTCTGCTTTGCTGTCTGACATAATTTCTTCAATCTGCAGCCATCTGGACCCGCCCCGAACTTTGCTCTGGTTCTGGTGGAACAGGTCCATCATTTTCAGGAGCTTTAGAAATGAAACAAAGTTGTTTTTTTTTGGTTCTGGTGGAACCCCGGGTCAGGAGGATGGATGATGTTCTGGTTTTCTGTTACAAACACGTTTCCTGCTGCAGAGAACATCTCAGAGAATCCAGAGCCTCCAGGTGAGGTTCTGCTGAGATGAAGTGAAGCTGCAGGCTCCACGTGTTTCTGAAAGGTGAGCACCTTCTCCCCCCTACTACCACCCCCCACCCACCGATCCACCACCAGTGAAGTTAATAAACTGATGTGAGAACCTTGAACACAGTAAGGACGTGTTTATCCTTGTCTAGAGTAGAGGGGGTTTAGGGTTAGCACCCCTGCTTCAACTTCCTACATTCCAGCAGAGACTGGAACAAGGCTTCTAAAAAATCACCCCTACTTAGGCAGAGAAAAGGCACACTTTAAACATTTTATTTCACCAACAGACTAACGAAAAATATACTCTCACAGTTGATATGAATAACATTAACAAGGTAAAAAGCATAAAAAACCAGAACCATGGACATAACCAGCTAAACAGTTCTCTTCCCACAATCCTTTGCCTCCAAAGTTGGGTTGTTCCTTCCTGTAGCCAGGCTTTGGTTGTTCTGGTCCAGTGGTTCAGTGGATCATCATCAGGTTGTGGTGCTTCCCCTCCAAAAGGTCACCGTTGGTGCCCACCGGGGTGCTTTTGCCATGGCAGCAAGCAGGCATGAAGGCCAGGCAGTAGGGGAAGACACTGTGTCGGGAAGCAGGGTATGCCTCAACCTCCTTCTGCTGACCAAGCTGCCCTCTTCTCAGCACGTCCAGAACCTCTGAGCAGACCTGTGGGATGAATGCAGGGTGATAACAGCTGAGAGAGAGGAGGTGAGGAAGACAATGGCGGTATGTCAGAGTCAGGGACTTGTCCAGCAGAGTGGTGATCTCACAGGCCATCTTCTCAAAAGAAGGCTCCAGGTACACCATTATCTTAGCAGCTGCAAACGCACAGCTTACAGCTCGCCGCGAGGCCTCGGATCTGAGAGGAGGTCAAGGTGCAATGCAGCATGATACTGAACGGTCCAGCGATGTACAGGCCAGGGGGTGGGGGGTGCAGTTGCAGTTCTGGCTCAGGAAGTTCTTGTTCAAGCTCTGAGGATTGCTGTCTCCAAACAGCCTACAGATTTCCTCTTCAACACGGTCCACACTGCCACAGCCAGGTCAGAACTCCCCACAGTGGGAGCAGCAGACAGTCAGCCTCCATTGGTCCATCCAAAGGCACTGATACAAACCTCTGATCTCAGCTTTTTTGGAGAACCGGACCAAATACTGATGCAGCCATGAGTCGGAATGCTGGGTGGCCAATGTCCCCTTTATGGACTTGAGCATCCGCAGTCGTTTTTCCCTGGGGGGAGACAGACATGACAGAGCAGACATGACAGAGGAAGAGGAAGTTGTCCCGTCAGAGACAAACCATCAACAGGAAGCAGACAGATGTCAGCATAGCTCATCAAACATGGCGCCATGCTGCGTCCAAGAGAAACACAGGTTTCTACACGGTCAGTAGAGGTGGTACCCGTCCATAGAGGCGGTACCAGTCTACAATGGCGGTACCGGTCCATAGATGTGGTACTTGCTCAAAGAGGCGGTACCGGTCCATAGATGTGGTACCAGTCGATGGTATAGGGTTTGTTTAGAGTACCAGAGAAGCACCAAGCAGATTTGCAGATACTAAGGTAAATTCTAGATCCGGTCCGGCTCATAGTGTCTTATCTACTGAGAGAGTCAGATGACAAGAAGGTCCACAGGAAGACAGGAAGGTCCAAAGGGGGGATAGGAAGGTCCAAAAGGCAGCAAGAAGGTCCAGAGGGGGATAGATAGTCCTTAGGAGGACAGGAATGTTCAGAGGAGGACAAGAAGGTCCAGAGAGGGACAGGAAGGTTTAAGGGGGGCTAGGAAGGTCCAAAGGGGGACAGAAGGTCCAGAGGGGGACAGGAAGGTTCAGAGGAGGATAAGAAGGTCCAGAGGGCTACAGGAAGGTCCAGATGAGGACAGGAAGCTCAGTAGGAGGACAGGAAGGTCCAGAGGGGGACAGGAAGCTCCAAGGGGGATATGAAGGTCCAGAGGGCTACAGGAAGGTCCAGATGAGGACAGGAAGCTCAGTAGGAGGACAGGAAGGTCCAGAGGGGGACAGGAAGCTCCAAGGGGGGATAGGAAGGTCCAGAGGGCTACAGGAAGGTCCAGAGGGGGACAGGAAGCTCCAAGGGGGATAGGAAGGTCCAGAGGGCTACAGGAAGGTCCAGATGAGGACAGGAAGCTCAGTAGGAGGACAGGAAGGTCCAGAGGGGGACAGGGAGCTCCAAGGGGGGATAGGAAGGTCCAGAGGAAGACAGGAAGGTTCAGAGGGCGATATGAAGATCCAAGGGAGAACAAGAAGGTCCAGAGGAGGATAGGAAGGTCCTGGGAGTTACATGAGGGTCCATATGAGAAAAGAAAGCTCAGTAGGATGACAGGAAGGTCCAGAGGGGGACAGAAGTTTCAGAGGAGGACAGGAAGGTTCAGAGGGGGACAATAAGATCCAGAGGGGGGCAGGAAGGTCCAAGGGGGGATAGGGAGGTCCAGAGTACGACAGAAAGGTTCAGAGGGGGACAGGAAGGTCCAAGGGGGACAGAAGGTCAAGATGAGGATAGGGAGGTCCAAAGGGGGACAATAAGATCCAGACGAGGACAGGAAGGTCCAATCCTTAGATGATGGAAACAACAATGTTCTACCTTCTCCACCCATCAAAACATGAATTGGATAAAAAAAAGCAATAATAATAATAATTATTCTTATTTTTATTATTATTATCCCTACATAATGGTGAGTTTAGGAGGTGCTGTTTTACTTCACGGATAATGTGTTTCCCTTTGCTTTATTAATATAAATTATGAGGCAGATATTAAATCTTTCTTAATAACCAACATTAAATGTTATATTATTGTACATTAATACAATTATGCAACAAACTGTTTAACGTTCTTATGGCCTTTACAGCTATGGCCACATTTTGTGATAGCTCTCAATAACAATGATCAACTGAATAATGATAAAATACTAAATACAACGAAAAATTTAAACCATCAGAAAATCTACTTTTTATCCAACTGTCCTTAATTTGAAACAAATTCATAATAATAAAATTCTTTATTAGGTTCTGACACCAAATAAACCGGGATTTTTCTCCCAACATTTATGAGTATGTTTTTTAATTTCAAGGTGCCAGTTCGACTGCTCTGCGCTCTGTTAGTCAGGACTTCCGGTCCCTGTAATCAGCATCAGCAGCATTAGCAGCGTTAGCATCGTTAGCATCAGCAGCTGTTCCTGCTAAGATGACTTTCAGCCGTTTGTTCTCCACAGCAGTCCGCATTAACAGAGGTGAGTCTCTGACAGCGTCCACATTTCAGAGGGACGGCAGTTAAAAGGCGCTGATTTTTAATTCAAACTCTGCGTTTGATTTAAAGCCTGACCTTAGCTTAGCTTAGCATTAGCGCATCGATGGGAGCTTTCACTCTGATTTTCACAGTGAAAGTTAGTTTAGTTTAACCCTAAAGGCTCTACTGTAGTTTATTTAAATCCTTAGATGATGGAAACCCTGAACCAGCGGTTTAGTGTCATGTTAGCCTGAGCTAACAGCTAACAGCCTGCTTTATTAGCGCAGCTACTGACTGACATTGCAGAAGCTGCTCAATCCGACCTAAAGTGAATTAAATATATAATTAAGAAAAGTAACTTTCAAAAACTATTTTTGGAGGTTTATAAAACAATTTAAAAACATATATTTTTGAATATTAACAATAAATAATATTAATGAGTAAATTAATATTACTAGATGTTTACATCTAGGAACCAGTAGACCAATCTGCTTGTTTTAGTTCTAACCCAAGTGATTGACACATTTGTCCAAAGTCTCTTCCTATCCACACATAAAGATGCTGTTTTTAGCAATGAGCTGATTCTTCCACGTCTCATAGATGGTGTTTTGTTCCTACAGCTGGATCCAGATCCGCCTTCACCAGCTCCAGGCCGGACACAGCCAACCCCAACTGGCTGCGGGTGGGTCTGGCCTTTGGGACGTCAGCTTTCCTCTGGGGCCTGGTGAGACACACTGGCATAGAGCCCACCTGCCCATCAGAATGGACTCTGTCAGGATCTGGCTGACCCAGCGGGTCACGCCGCTCACCTCCTGCTTTGTCTCTTCTCTCTGCAGCTTTTCAAACAGCACAGCGCAGACGAACACGAGTACCGGCTGAGAAACGGCCTTCAGTGATCCCAGCCGATGGAGGCCCACTTCCTGCTGCGCTGATGGCGGGGCTGATGGCGACCTTATGACTTCATGTCAGCATGGAACCAAGCACGTCTGGAACCTGCTGGAGTCTGGGTCCTCCCTGATGGACCCGCCTGGTTCTGTTCCCCCTGCCTGAACTCTGTAAAATAAATAAATGTTGACCTGTAAACTGGGTCCTGTTGGTGTGATAAAGACCTGTGGAGGGACAGGGTCTGCTAAAGCAGCATCAAAGCTTATGAGCAGCATCATTACAGAGAACTAAGGTTCTAAGGTTATAGAATAATAATGATCACATCATAAAACATAGAAATAGAGCAGAACTATTTCCAAAGTCTAATTCAGTAGTTCTCCTCTAGACCACAAGGGAGCAGCAGTGATACCCTTTCAGTAGAAAACAAATTTTAAATCTTGGTAAATTAGCATAAAACTGACCAGAGCAGTGGAGTTCTAGGTTCCTCCAATCAATCTACTGATGCTAACGATGATGAAAACAGAATTCAGCCTCTTTCAAAGCTAATCTTAGTGTTTTATAGGCTGAAGAGAAAATAATGGCATCCAGGAGTCTTTAAACCAACATTAACTTTTTAAACCTTATAGAATATTTTTTTTAGCTTCTGGGATTATATGTCAACCTGAAACTGGCTGATTGACCACCTGTCATGACCTGAGGGGGTCTGCATCACTTTCACCGGCACTAAGCGACTTTGAGGAAGGTGGAAGGAACTCGATTGACGGCATACGTGACTCCTCGTATTCCTTATTCATTATAAAGAGGGAGCAAACTTTCCCTGAGGACTGTTTACTGGTGCAAAGTGTACAGAGTTGATAATCAGGCTGATTCCTGCTGGGATCCATACAGAGATGTCAAAAGTAAAACTAAAAGTATAAAAGTAAAGCAGGAAAAACACTACCCTATTAAAGGAACATTTTTCTACTATTCTGGATGATAAGTTCCTTAGACTTCATTTTCTTAGTTTTATAACTAATGGCAACAGTGTCACATTTAACTTTGCATCGTCTTGATAAACTATTTATTTTGGTATGTTGAGAGTAAAAAAAACAAAACAAAAAAAAATATATATATATATAGGAAGGGAGAGAGAGAATAGAAAATCCATTTATTGTCCCACAGTTGGTAAATTGTTGTGTTACAGCAGCACAAGATTACAGCAAAATGCTCACAAAACTTTTTACCTTAAAAAGTGTATAAAAATAACAGAATAAGTCACAGTGTTAAAATATATATATAATAAAACTGTATACAGTGCATTTACAAATGTTAATACTGTGCATCTGAACAATGAATAATCAATACAGCTACAGACATTTTTACAGCATTTTACAGTATAATATATATATATATATATATATATATATATATATATATATATATATATATATATATATATTGTAGAGAGGTGTGCATATATATGTGTAAACCTAAATATTTTTCTGTATATAGTAAAACATTATAAATGTGTCTGTGCTTTGCAGCATGCATCCATCCTATCAGAATATTAAATTACTCTTAAACACAGTAAGTACATTTAAATTTGTTTGTTTTCAGCAAAAACAAAAAACGTGAAATTTAGTGAAACTGGTTCGGTTCCTGTTCATCACACTGAGTGGAGCTACTGACCGCCCCAAGATGGCGCCACCAAATGAGAGAAGCTGTGGATGCGGGTCTGCCCATAGATATCCATAATAAAGGATTATGGATATCTATGGGTCTGCCCTGATCTTATGGGGCGTCACGAGCAGCCCGTCACAACTTCCTGTCTACCTCGGTGGGCGGGGTTAGCTCCAGGCTCCGCCCCCCTGCGTGTTCCCCAGATCTCCCAGCTCTCTGATCCACTCAGCAGTTCGGAGCTCCGAGGCCCCCGGAGAGCAGAGATGTTTACCTGCAGAGCGGCCTGGCAGCGGTGTGGGCCCCTGGCCCGGAGAGCGGCCTACAGGAGGCCCCTGGACGGTGAGTTCACCCCCCACCCTGAATGTCCTGTGATGTAACAGCTCTACCTGCGGTAGGACACGCTGTCCTCTTGTGGATGTCTATGCATGGCCCTATAGGCTGGGTGGTGGGGGGGGGGGGGGACAGGTTGGAGCCCTGGCTGGGTTGGGGCCCAGGCTGGTTGGGGGTCCAGGTTGGGAGTCCAGGTTGCAGCCCTGCACTGTGTCGCTGGCATGTTTGATTCATTCAGGGACTCCTCTGGGCTCCATGTTTTATCGGAGCCACGTGAGGCAGCGCTTCTCCGTGGAACCTGCAGCCCGGTGGCCCCCTGGGGCCCCTGCGGTCCTCTGCTCCCCCAGCACCAGGCTCCTGCAGAGTGACCTTCAGGAATCTGCGGGGAAACGTGGAAACATGGTCGCCGCTGTCTGTCACGTGGGGTGTGACAGCGCGGAGGCACGAGCCGCTGCTGTGAGCGCGCGCCGCTATAGGACGGTCAGCGCGTGTGACCTCGGCTCTGATGGGTTCAGTCATCAGCTCCAGGCTCTGAGCCAATCAGAACGCAGGAACTTAACCAGCGGTTCCTCAGAGGTTGAGGTTGACCTGTGGACCCACGCGTGGGCAGAAGGTCCTCCAGAGGAGAAGATGTTCTCGTCCTCAGCCGCTCCTCCAGCCGATTAAAGAGATGAAATAATCCAGGATTAGATGTGGATGTCTGAGCTTAGAGCCAACCACAGACCTCAGCTTGTCCTTCAGCAGCAGGAACCTTTAACAGATTCATCATTTCATTTAGTAGTTTTTCCTTTTATGGATTAAAGAAAGAAAAAGCTGCAGATGTTTACAGATCAACAGCGTCTGAACTGAGGCTGCAGCCAGGGGCGGATTTAGGAAATGTGGGGCCCTAGGCAAAGACAGGCAGGGGCCCTCTGAATGGAGAAGACATAAAACAGCCCCATTCTCCAGATAGAGGAATGTGAATAGAATAGACATCCATTATCTGTTCTAGGTTTTGTCCCTCTCTTCTTGTCCCTTTTCTTCTTGTTTTCCTCTCTATGTGTTGTACTCTGCTGCCTTTTCGTTAGGGTTGAGCATGGATAAGATTTTCATAATTCCAATCCCTTAACGATTCTGTGAAACGGTTCGATTCCTTATCAATTCTCTTATCAATTCTGTTAATAAAGAGCTTGGTGAATTCATGGTGACATACCTCTACCTTCACCTGGAACATTCTATTTCTGCCCTTCTCGGTGAAAACAGAAGCCAGTGAACGGGAGCTGCAGCCTCTGATCCAACCAGGCTACCCGTCTCCTCACAGTCATCTAAATCTAATGGAGAAGGCATCCGTTTAATGAAAAAGCATTACTGTACAATTTCTGGAAATAAACTGATCTCCCCCTGATTTAAATAAACCAGTGTCACCTTTCTCTCGCTGCCTGAACTGCGGAGCAACTTCATGCGTGTTTAATAACCCCAGAGAGAGGTAGGAAACTGGTTTATTTCCAGAAATGGCATCTGATTTACTAGAAACCACATTAAGCTCAGCCAGTTATAGAAAACTAGCTACTTCCTACCAGAGTTTCCTTCCATGCTGGTCGTAACTTTAGCTTCTGTCCGGAAGCATCAAAAACATGGCATTCGTTAAAATGTATGCCATGTTGTGTACGCAGGTGTTTCTGCATGTTGGATGTATTTCCTCCAACAGATGTGTTTGCCACTTTACATCCAAACTGTCGATCGGTTTACCCGATAGGACGCCATTTTTTTTTTGCTTTTCTAGACTTATGCCTGGCGTAACTTGTGCAAAAAATGTGCTGTAACCTACGTAGAAAATGTGACATAAGTCGTGCTGCCCAGCGCCCTAGGCTCTGGTGCTGCCTGGAATCGTTAGAACCGTGAAGCGAGCTGGTAAACGGTGCCATGGAATTGGAACACACGGAACCGGTTCTGAACAGGAACCGGTTTCCGATTCCCATCCCTTCTAAGCTCACTTAGCTGATTGCTCCTTCCTGTGTTTCCAAAAAGGCCAAAGTAAATAACCCAGTCCTTCTTTTCACTGTAGACAAGCCATGATCTGCTTCTCTGTTCTCCATTTTTCATTTGGATGAAATAATAGCTGCATGAATCATGACAGCAGACAAGATGGAGGAGAGCAGGAGGCGGGGTTACCAATCTACTCGCTCTGGAGACCAGAGTTCGCTGCTTTTAGATGTTGTCTCCAAAGTTCCTCCATGGCGTTCCTCTGCGCTCCATCTTGTTCCTCTATCCTCCATGGCGTTCCTCTATCCTCCATGGCGTTCCTTTATGCTCCATGGCGTTCCTCTATCCTCCATGGCGTTCCTTTATGCTCCATGGCGTTCCTCTATCCTCCATGGCGTTCCTCTGCGCTCCATCTTGTTCCTCTTTCCTCCATGGCGTTCCTCTATCCTCCATGGCGTTCCTTTATGCTCCATGGCGTTCCTCTATCCTCCATGGCGTTCCTCTATCCTCCATGGCGTTCCTTTATGCTCCATGGCGTTCCTCTATCCTCCATGGCGTTCCTTTATGCTCCATGGCGTTCCTCTATCCTCCATGGCGTTCCTCTATCCTCCATGGCGTTCCTTTATGCTCCATGGCGTTCCTCTATCCTCCATGGCGTTCCTCTATCCTCCATGGCGTTCCTTTATGCTCCATGGCGTTCCTCTATCCTCCATGGCGTTCCTTTATGCTCCATGGCGTTCCTCTATCCTCCATGGCGTTCCTCTATCCTCCATGGCGTTCCTTTATGCTCCATGGCGTTCCTCTATCATCCATGGCGTTCCTTTATGCTCCATGGCGTTCCTTTATGCTCCATGGCGTTCCTCTATCCTCCATGGCGTTCCTTTATGCTCCATGGCGTTCCTCTATCCTCCATGGCGTTCCTTTATGCTCCATGGCGTTCCTTTATGCTCCATGGCGTTCCTTTATGCTCCATGGCGTTCCTTTATGCTCCATGGCGTTCCTCTATCCTCCATGGCGTTCCTTTATGCTCCATGGCGTTCCTCTATCCTCCATGGCGTTCCTTTATGCTCCATGGCGTTCCTTTATGCTCCATGGCGTTCCTCTATCCTCCATGGCGTTCCTTTATGCTCCATGGCGTTCCTTTATGCTCCATGGCGTTCCTCTATCCTCCATGGCGTTCCTTTATGCTCCATGGCGTTCCTCTATCCTCCATGGCGTTCCTCTATCCTCCATGGCGTTCCTTTATGCTCCATGGCGTTCCTCTATCCTCCATGGCGTTCCTTTATGCTCCATGGCGTTCCTTTATGCTCCATGGCGTTCCTCTATCCTCCATGGCGTTCCTTTATGCTCCATGGCGTTCCTTTATGCTCCATGGCGTTCCTCTATCCTCCATGGCGTTCCTTTATGCTCCATCTGTTCTCTTGCAGGCGTGCAGCGGCGGCCCATGTCGTCAGTCCCTGGCGGTTCCGGGGAGAACATCCTGTACACCGTGCTGTGTGGCGGAGCGCTGGTCGGCGCGCTGTCCTACGTAAGTCACCTCAGCCTTTCAGCTTATTCGCCTCATCTATGGGGGCGGGGCTTCAGACTAGCAGCAGCGCTAACACTGCCATGTTCTTCTGTTCTACAGGGATATCTGACCGTCACCTCGGACCATGCCAGGTTCAACGAGCGCATCAGTGAAATTAGAGCCCGGCCAAAGACGGACTGGACCCCTAAACCCTGGCCGCCTAAAGGCAAGTCCCGCCCCCCCTTTGGACAGAGACGTCCTCACTTCCTGTTTGAGTCCAACACTCAGATCTCAGATTAGTGATAATAATGGTAACAGGCCGATCCTCCTCTAAACGGCATCATCACGTCGTTTAAACCAAAGAAAATCCATAAAAAGTTCTGACTAAATTAAACTATTAATAGGAAGTGTAGGAATGCTGGACCGCTGCTGGAGCTGAAGGCAGCCATCTTGGATCCTGGGTCTGCCCAGTTTGCCCCTGTCTGCTACTAGCTGGTTCAGCAGGTTTCTATCTGAACAGAGCCTGATTTGGACCCTGAAGTCAGGCGAGTCTCTCCGACCGACTCTCGGGGCTCCAACTGAGTTCTAAAACCAGTGAGCTAACTGGGAATCAGAGGGACTGACCTCCAGAAACCAGTCCAGCTTCCAGCGGCTCCACTCTACCTCCACCAGGCTGATTTTTTAACAGATGAATTCTTACGGATTGAACAATTTTAATCCAACTTTTTGACCCGGCAGACAAACTGACCGCAGCGCCAGTTAAACCCCCACGATCCTTTGCTGCATGATGCCGTGTTTCCTCCTCCTGCTTATTCTGGAAAAGATGTTTCTCAGTTCCACTAATCTTATTTAATTTATCAGATTAAACTGATCAAGTAGTCCAGTTGTTTTCTAAAACCTCAAGAACTGACCTGTTTAACCTCGTTGGTTTTGTCTGTCACCATGACAACCGCCTCCTTCCACATGGGCTGCTGAGGTTGATGTCTGGCTGGACCGAACCGGACCGGGCAGAAAATTAGACAGAACTACTGAAGTAAATCCAGCATTTATTGTCTGAAGCTCCCAGCTGGACTCGGCTGGAGATCTATCGGACTCGGCTAGATCTAGGTCCCAATTTCTAGGTTACAGGAGTTGTGATGAGTCACTGCAGCTCCAGATGTTCAGCTTTTCTCCTGTTGGTCCGACTAACTTCTCTTCTGTTTGTTTGTCTGCAGGAAAAGATGAAGATGAAGGTGAGTTTGCTCCGCCCTCTGACTCAGTGCCTGGATGGAAACACTGTCACCCCCCCTGCTGTGAGCACTAATAAACTGAGCCGACTTTCACGCTGTAGCTCTGCGTCCAGCAGGAGGACACGTCCTTATTCTGGCTCCTCTGCAGGGCCACCTCAGCTGCTTCCATCATGGAAAAACAAAGTCAGTTTCCTCAAATCAGTGGTTTAAATCTGCCAATAGAAGGAGGCTTCTGCCCCAAAAATAGATAAGACAATATTCTGCAGATATTCTGCAGATGTTCTGGTCCGGGTGGACCTGGAGGCTGCAGACCTGATGGCGATGCAGCTGTCTGTACTTCCTGTCTGGGCCGTCCCGGCGCCGCTGATGGCGATGATCCTGATGTTTTGACTAGGGGTATAAATCACATCCATCATGGCGATTCGATTCAGTATCAATTTCCTGACCCAGCGATTCGATTATTTTCGATACTCAAGAATACACCACAATACGATACGGTTCGATTTGATTAATCGGTTAATCGGTAAATTTTTTTTTTTTTTTTTTTTTTTTTTTTACACCTTACAGGCTAAACAAAGTTTAAAGTTTGAAATAAATAAATGAAAGCTGTAATATCGTTATGCATTTTTTTTTAGAAACAGCAAATAACAGAAGTAGAAAAGTTGCATCAAAAAAATACTGCAGAAAATCAGTGCAATGAGTGCAATGCAATACCTCGGCTCCTGACGTCCCGCCCCCCCCACAGACGCTCCACTGCTCCTCTCCCAAATTGTAGCTGACCGCAGACAGCGCCACAGACAGGAGGCCGGCTTGTTTTGTTTTTATGACCGGAAAACAACTCGTGAAGTTTGACCCACTAGAAGACTGAGGTGAGCTAGAATGCTGGGACCCTTTTTCCACCTGGATCTCCGCTCTTTTTGGCCCTCATGTCCCTCCGTCTTCGGACTAAACTCGCCCCCACTTCCTCGCCGCCTCGGCCGTATCTAGACCCACAGTGTGTAGATCAGACCACGCTTCAATACTGAGCATAATTTAAAAATGTCTGTGTCAAGCTCACTGCAACACACTGCTGTAAGAGTATAACCAGGAAGCGCGGTAAAAACATGAATCGATTCTCTTGCGAACGTGTCGATGCGTCGGATCGTCGCCTGTTGGATCGATGCAAAACGATTATTATTTACACCCCTAGTTTGGACCGCCTCTCTGATCTGATGCCCATTAATAACACCATCAGATCCAGTTGAGCAGAATCTCCCAGAGCGGCGATCGGGTCGGCCCAGAACAGCTCTGACCCAGAAAGGTCGGAGATGCAGAAGTTACTGTGATGATCAGAACCATCAGCGGACCCCCCATGCTACCGTGTGTTTGGACCTCCAGAACTAACCCGTGTTACTGAAGCAGACGCTGCTCCCTCCTCCTCTCTAACTCTCTGTATCTTTGCTCTTTCAGCCTAAGCTTAAAGCTCAGGTCCTCTGAGGAGAACCGGCTAGAACTGGATGTGAACAGGGAAACCAATCCCTCTCTTCCTCCTCCTCTTCCTCCTCTTTCCTCCTGTCCCTGGGGGGCCAGTCTCTGAAGGATGTGGGTGTGGAGCTGTGGGGGCCGTCTGCATGTCCTGCTGCTGTAGCTGTCCTCTGCTAGCTGCTGTCCTCCCTGGGGGGGTTCAGCCTGTTGTGTCTCAGCTGCGTGTACTCTGTGATTCTAATAAAGACCCTCCACATTCCTCACTGTCAGACCTGCTTTCACTGAAAACCCCCTAACCTGTTAACCTGATGGTAAGAACCAACTCTCCACTTCACCCTCTTTCTCCCCTCCCCCCTCCCCCACCTGGTCCTTCCTCCCTGTCTTTCAGTTTGCATGCGGTTTGTTCAGTGCATGTCTGTGAACTAGAGGTGAGGCGGGTCTTAAAGCAGGGGAAGGTTTTATTTCTTATTTTTAGACATTTTGACTCATTTTTGGATCCATTTTTGCAGGAAAAAGTTCAGACTGAAGGATGACGGATGGATTGTGTCGTTAAAATGGTTCAACTTTAAACGAATCAGAATCATTAGAGCCCTCATCAATAGTCTCTCCTGTCATTTAAAGGGGAACGCGTCATGTTCTACTCACCCATATGAGTTTTGTGTCATTTGGAGCTAAAGATATTCCGTTAGGTTATATCCAAGTAACGTCTTCCTATGGGCAACGACTTAAAGGCACAAACTAAACTGTTCATCATTTATTCTTCATGGTACGCCAGCATTCAGAACATGTAGGCCAATCACTGTCCCCCAGACATCCGCGCTTATGTTTTTTATATGTATATTTTTAAAAACAAAGCGGCGTGTGTATGACGTCATCCGGGCGCCGTACTGGAGTTGTGACAGGCAGCCCGGGCCACAGGCGGCTACGCTCTACCCCTTCTATTCATTCTAGCTAATCTGAATCGTTCAATTCCATTTGGAGAGCGAGATCATCTATGGTAGCAGCACTAGACATCTTCCAGGCATGTGAGGAAAACTAGCAGCAGCTCAGCGGACAGGATGAATGAGTGGTAGCCGGCATAAGCGGATGATGTCATACACACGCCGCTTTGTTTTTAAAATATATAACCTTGGATGTCTGGAGGACAGTGATTGGCCTACATGTTCTGAATGCTGGCGTACCATAAAGAATAAATGATGAACAGTTTAGTTTGTGCCTTCAAGTCGTTGCCCATAGGAAGACGTTACTGGATATAACCTAACGGAATATCTTCAGAACGGCTCCAAATGACACAAAACTCATATGGGAGAGTAGAGCATGATGTAATAACGTAAAATCAAGGGCGCAATGTAAAAAAACGGCGTTCCCCTTTAATCTTTTTTAAAAAATGCACGTCCTCGTGCACGCTGTGTTTAAAATGTGCTTTTCTCATCACTCATACAAGCTAACTGTGTCCACATACAGCAGGGACTATATAGTGAACTATAGTTAACTGACCTTTCAGACAGATGATCACTGCTTTTTGCTCCGTTGGTCATGTAACTCCTCCACCACGGGGTGCCATCGCCTATGGCGACAGCGGGCCGCTGTGACTGCAAATCCCATAATGCTTTGTGAGGAGAGCTTTCCATGCAAAGCATTCTGGGATATAGCTGCCTCTTCTGAGGCCTTTCTTTTCTCCTCTTCACTTCGTAGACACATTTTCTCTTCCGACCCTCTTACATTTTCAAAGAACTGCAGTGAGAAAGGTGAGCTTCAACGACTGTCTGAAACCGCAGCTCACCACAGATATACGCCTGAAAGTGCGCAGAAAAACATAGCTAACGGGCCGAGCACGCAGGACGGCCTTAAGCACATCACCAGAATGATTGACAGTTAGGAGGACCACTGATTGAGATGATCCACCTGGAAATAAACGACCCTCCTCTATAGCTGTAAACTGATTAACCAGTAGTCCTCTATTTTAACATCCCTCTTCAATCAAGCAGCTTTAGGCTTGGAACGTATTGTACCTGCAGGGGGCGCTGCTAAAAAAAGTAGACTCAGACCACTGCTATTCAGGGCCGCCACTAGGAATTTGGGGCCCCATGAAAGACATTGATAGAACTCCCCCCCCCCCCCCCCCCGCAACCAAAAAAATGTCTGCAAGCTTCAAAACAGCCATAAACATGCACCAAATAATTTACAATTTCAGTCTTCATTTTTATGTACAATTTCAACAAGGCTAATTTATCCTAGCACTAAAAATGTAAATATACAACTTTAAACTTTACATTAAAAATCATCCTCTTACAATAATTACAGTGTATTTAAAACAGTACAACTTAGCTGTATGTGTGTAAACTTGGGCTGATCAATATATTAATGTTTTGTTTTGCTGTTTACTGCTGAAAAATCCCAAAGAAAACAAAGATCATTTACTTCACTGCTGGAGTTTCCTTTTATATTTGAATCTTTAGCAAACATATCATTTCTTCTTTCTTTGAGGCCTCCCTCAGTCGAGGGCCCTTAGAATATTCCTTTACCTCCCCATACGGCGCCCCCGCTGCTATCAGAAATATGACTGCAGAATAACTAAGCAACGAAATTAACTCTCTGCATTTAACTCATCCCCTGTGGAGAGAACTGCCATTGTGCGGCGCCCAGGGAGCAGTACAGGGTTAAGGCTCTTTGCCCAGGGACCCAGAGTGGCAGGCCGAGGGAGTAAAACTCGAACTCAGAACCTCTGGTGGCCCTAATCCTTTTCCGTACTCTTTCCATCTAGAAGGCTTTCTCAATTCAAAATGTCAGACATGGCGTTGAGATCCAGGCTTTATACAGAGGACCAAAAACAAAGCCTGGTTTTGGTTTAGAAAACATGGAAGTTGAACCTGACGAGCGGTCCATCCCTTTGGAAAGGGGGCTGTTTCGTTTCTGTGTTAACCTGTAATACCCGACGATGGATACCAGACGATGGAGGATTCAGTTTGGTCCAAAACCAATAACCATAGCCTAATCCTATGAGTCTACTTAAGTTCTGCTCTTATTAGACTCTTCATAAACAGCGGCGTCTAAACATCAGTTTCTTTTCTTCCAGATGTAGAGGCTGAAGCTGAGGAAGAGGAGGCCGCTGCTGAGGCAGAGGCCGTAGTGGAGGAAGCAGCTGAGGCTGAGGCCGCTGAGGCGGTCGCTGAGGCTGAGGCCGCTGAGGCGGTCGCTGAGGCTGACGCCCAGGTGACACAGGAAGCGGAGGCAGCTGCAGAGGAAGTGGCCGAGGCGGTGGAAGACGCCGCTCAGGCCGTGGCGGAACCCGCCGAGGCCGGCGCCGAGGAGACCCAAAGCGATGGTACGAGCTCTTAATCTGAGGAAGCCTGAGGTTCCTCTCATTCACTGCAGGGAGACGCACACGGCAGACCGCTTAGCATCCACACTCGACCAGCATCACAGGGAGCAAAGGGACCAGTCCCAGTTGGTAGAACCAGTAGAGGCTAGCCGATCGGCCTCACCTCTTAATGCACATCCTCTCTTGTTGTCCTTAAAGTGTATATTTGCTTTTTAATTTATTGGAGCGGGTGCTGCTGATGGGGATCTTTGGGGTCTGCAGTGTAGACCGCCGTGCATCTGATCTTCTGGTTCTTTCCTTTGTTTTTTTGCTCCGTTAAAAAGCACAAACTCTCCGAGGTAAATCTGCACTTTCCTTCCCGGCCGTGAGCTCTCATGCAATGCTCATTTGCAGTTATGGGTGAAATAAATGTGATCACTCAACAAGCCTCACCATATTCCTCCAACTTTAACCCTCAGCAGCATATGGGCCCAAATTTCCAACGCCGTTAGCTGGTAAGGAAACACCTCTAGCCATTTTGTTTCAATGCTCTGAGTGCCGTTGGCTAAGATTTGACCAAACGCTGTTTTTCTTTGCTTTAAGCGTCTGTAAGCTGCTGTTCTGATATCACAGCGTACATGTATGGATGTTTAGCTCTGGCTGTGATACACCTGTGTCTTCATGCAATGTTCCCCCTCTGTAACAGTGTGTTCTTCTCTAATGTCACGACAAATGCTGTGAATCATTCATTCTAGGTTTACAAACCAATCCACATCAATAATGTGATCATATTTCTATTTTGCTTATAACTGGACAATGAGCACTGTGAACAGATATTATTTCATCAGGTCTACAATAAAGTCTTTGTTAAATGAAGATATTTACTGCCGTCTTTGATTTGTCTGATTGGGTGTTTTAATCCAGCTTAGTAATGAGACTCTCCAGTCTTCACACTTGAAGCCACAGCTTTAATCTCAAACTCATGTTTGGTATCAGCGGCTGACATTTAATCAGAACCAACTCTACGGTTACAGCAATTGTCTCGTTTTACTTCCATCTCTCGGGTGTTTGGTCCATCTGGGTACAGAGGTCTGGTGCAAAAGTCTGCTTCACCCAGTCCTCCTGGCAAAGAGGTGTAACCCCAAAATCACGCATCCTCCTTATCCGTTCCGCTCCTGACGCAAAGGAAACCTGCAGCCTCCCGTCTCCGAGTTCCTTTGAGCTCCTCAATTCATAGGAGCAAAACATGAGGTAGGCCTAATAAACACTTAGTTTGATATGACAATAAAAAAAATCAGCATCTAGCATACATGCAGTTTCTGCACAAACATTATTTGTTGTGGATTTTTGTAATAGAGGATAATTGGGATCATACATTGGTTTATGCACTACTTCCAACCTCAGCATCTCTTCACCCATCCATGAGTTTCTTTTGAAGTTGTGAGAAATGTCAGAAATAGCGTTGAGTTCCAGGTTTAATACAGTAGCTCAACAAAGCCTTGTTTTTAATTAGAAAACATGCAAATGAAAACTTTGTTAGCCTGCAATGCCCCATACCTGTCTATGTCTCTAAAAAGGGGGGTCGTTAAAGGGAATTGTTGGCCTGGCTGAATAGGCAAGGTCTTCTTTTCTCCTATAAAGGGGCTGCAATGGTAGCGGGAAGGAATCAACTCTATCGCTACATTGTAGGTTTTTTAAAGCTGAAAGTCCAACCCCCCTCTGTTTAAGGTTGGTTTTTCTTTCTTAACATAGATGGCTTCCTTGACGCCCCTCTCAAACCAAAGGAGGGGGGACCTGTTCATCTGTTTCAATTTTCATGTTTTCTAATCAAAAACAAGGCTTTGTTGGGCTACTGAATAAAGCCTGGAACTTAACGCTATTTCTGGCATTTTCAATTGAAAAAGCTTCCTGGATGGAAGAGAAACATTTTCAGACTTAGAAACAAAGTCCAGTGGATTTTTTGTTGTTTGTTATTAACTCTAATTAGTAGTTACCGATCTATTGTTTTCCATATTTTAATTTGGCAAGCTGGGTTTTCTCAACGTTCTTTTTCCTGTTTGGTGTGATTGCAATTCCGGATCTTGACCTGGCAAGACTGGAGTGGAGCTGGTGGAGGTTGATTGCAAATATAAACATTTAGTCTGATGATTTGGCTCATAAATACCAGCGATGTCAGCGGATTAAAAGAAAAATCTTGGGAAATAGTTGCTGTCACTCTTGGATGACACCAAGAGGCAGAGAAAATATTCATCTACTATGTTTTCTACTTCTACATTTGGTGTTTTAAGCTCAAGGTCTGTGTCCTACACTTCCCCCTAGAGTCACTCAGAGAAGAAAATGCTACAGACTGCGGCCAAGTCCCAAATCAGCCCCCAAGCACTAACCTCATATCAGTCTATGATTGACGTTTGGGTGGTTCCTTGCCTTTCATCTCCAAACTGAAGTGAGGGACCCTGCATCAAATGCATGATAGTAAACAGGAGGAGTAGTTGAAGACTTTTAAGGTTTTGGTAGGTTTTAGAGAACTTTAATATAATTTGATTTAAACAAACTTGTGTCCGAGTATTCCCAGGCCCTAGAAGTCATAAACTGTTTGAACTAATCAATGAATGGTACATGTTGTTGACCTACCTACAGCATGTAGTTGCTATTCACTTCATGGGTCATTTTACAGATGATCAATATACTACATCAACTCATGTGCTAGATTTGGTGAATTTTTAGCTTGAGCAGTTGTGACGTTTACATCGATCGATTTTGTGTTGCAGTGCCACTAGCAGCTGCCTCTGCATTAGAGTTACTGAAGAAAGGTGAAGGTGAAGATGACTTTACACCTGCTGATCAAGAGCCCCTATCTCAAGCAGTGGAGAAGCCTGTTGAAGAAATGGCCCTTGCTTCTGCAGAGGATCCTGTACCAGTGGAGGTTGCATCAGTTCTTGAGGAGTCACCTGCCCCCTCGGAGATCGCACCGGTCATAAAGGAGACCCCAGCATTAACATTGGTTGAGCCAGATGTGGAGGAGCCCTCTGCACCTGTAGAGGTTGTGTCAGTTGTCAAGGAGGTCCCTGAACCCATAGAGGTTGTGCCAGGTGCTGAGGAGGACCCAGCACCCGCAGAGGATGCACCGGTTATCAAGATGCCCCCCTTACCAGAAGAAGTTGTACCAGTTGCTGAGAATGCATCTTCTCCAGAGGAAGTTGTGCCAGTTGCCATGGAAGCCCCTGGACCTGTAGAGGTTTCACCAATTGAAAAGGAGACCCCTTCAGCAGATGAGGTTGCCCCAGTTGTTGGGGAGGCTCCAGAACCTGAAGAGGTTGCGCCAGTTGTAGGAGAGGCCCCTGCACCAGAAGAGGTTGTGCCAGTTGTCGGGGAGGTCCCTGCACCAGAAGAGGTTGCACCAGAGGCCATTGAAGCCCCTACACCTATAGAGATCATAGCAGGTGTTGAAGAGTCCTCTGCTCCAAAAGAAGTTGTGCCAGTTGTTGAGGTGCCCCCTGCACCAGAAGAGGTTGCACCAATTGTCATTGAAGAAGATGCACACATAGAGGTTTCGCCTGTTATGGTGGAGGCCACTTCACCAGAAGAAGTTGTTCCAGATGTCAAGGAGGCCATTGCACCCATAGAGGTTCCATCAATTGTTGAAGAGGCCCTTGAACCAGAAGAAGTTCTGCTGGTTGTTGAGGTGGCCTCTTTATCTGTAGAGGTTGCATCAATCGTTGAGGAGGCCCTTGACCCAGAAGATGTTGCACCTGTTGTCATGGAAGCCCCTGCATCTGTAGAGATACTACCTGTTGTTGAGGAGGTTCCTTCACCAGAAGAAGTTGTGTCAGGTGTAAAGGAGGCCTCTGCACCTGTCGAGGTGGCACCAGTTATGCAGGAGACCCCAACGTTTTTAGAAAGCACTGACAAAGAATATATCGTAGTTGTCCTTGAAGGAACACCTAAAGAGGAGAAAAGACCCAAGGTACTGGGAATTGGTCCCATGACTGGTAGAATCATCCTGGCTCCAGAAAATGAATCTGGACCCACCTCTGAGGTAAGTTACATGACATTTCAGATTCTAAGTAGCATTAAATGTAAAGATATAACAACAAAATTGCATTGCACCCCTCAGCAAGAGAGAGATTTTTATATTTTTTTTATGTTCTCCAACCCAATCTGTGGCGTAAGTCAAATACTAGAAAATCTAATTTCTTGACATATACTTAAAGAATAATTCCTCAGATGTAAAAACATAACCATACAATCAGGCCCTTTTTGAAAAAAAAACCCCCAAAAAAGTGGTTGGTGTCAAGAGACCATGAATGGTGGGGCTAACTGTTATAATGAGCCGGGTGGTCAGGATGTTGGCCTTATTAAGCATTGGCAGTGAGGAGAGGGGATACTGGTTGTTACACCATACATAGATCTTCAGAGGTGGAGGATATTTCACCCTTTTTGTAGAGCCCAGTGGGCCCGAGCTTGATCAGCTCAAGCTTCTTGCTTCAAAGCGCAGACTGAGCAATGCCCAAAGTCAAACCTGCCAAGGTGCGAGGTGTGTGTCTGAGTGAGTTGCTTTTATACCCAGGCTATGGGTACTTGTGACAAGCATTTATCAATAGGACAATTCTGCTGCAATAGCTACTGTTCAACCACTTTGGCAGCACTAAGGTTGCTTTAAGAAGGATATTGCAAAACTTAAATATCTCACATTAAAAATGTGAAGATACAATAACAATAAATTGGTATCATATTACCACAAATTATACAGTTTAAATGTAAAAAAGTACATTTTGGAGTGAGTTGGGAAGCATACTGGGGTAAAAATCCTTCATGCCTTTGAAAAGATAAAGCAGAGGCAGTATAAATGAAAACGATCTCTACAATACATCAAGCATAACAATTGTAGTTGGTTCCAGCTCCGTCTCTTCACGGCAGCCGCCCATCTCACTCATCAGCGTTTAGCCCTCAGGGCAGCACTAAGAAGACATTCGCAATGTTCCATTTAGTCGGCTGCATCCTCCTAGGACCTGGTCTGCCTGGACTGGGACTGGGAGAGTTTGGCTATGGATTCAAACAGGTCCAGCCTTCTCCAGCTTTCACAGCCCGTACATTGACTCACAAAGCAGGCAAAAATGGATGCAGAATTTATCACTGCTGTCCTGGGTGCTAATTACGTTTCTGAGGAGCTTCAGCAGCAGTACCGCCTTCTCAGATATCAGATTTATAGTCCCCACACTGCAGAGATGTTGGAATCTGAGCTTAAATGTCAGCCAAACCCATTTACACAGGGACAGATAGAACCTTTCAATAATCAAACATTACCACCACATATCTGACTCAACAACCATTAAAACAAGTATTTTCATTCATTTTAGACAGAATTATTCACAGACTGCATTATATTAAACTGCACTTCCAATATTCACCACTGTGCCATTTCCCCTTTTTCCTCTGAGCGCGATAACGATGAGTCTTCCAATTAGAACAGGCCTCGGCACTGCGCTATGATGTAATTGGCCGACAGGTCTGGCCTTCGGAGGACGCAGCAGCCGAATACGCCATTTAATGCAAGCAAGTTTACAGGGAAATTATAAAAAAATTACCCAGCAACATAAAGATGGCACCCTTAGGCCCAGTTTATAATTACATTTAATGTTTAGTTTGTTATACATAAGATATAGAAAGAAAAGAAAAATCTGGTGTGGTTTTAAATTTAAAAACAACCAGTTTCTTTCAGTTTCATTTTTTTTTCTTTTTTTTTTATATATATAATATTTTTTAAGAATCTAATCTTAGAGAAATCAGCTTTTTATTCGTGAACAGGGAGAATTCAGTTTTCTGTCTTGGATTCAGGGCCTCTATGTGATCTGAAAACACTAAGAATATAACGTGACTCTTTAAACTCTGCTATTCAGGGTAGGCGCCGTCACTCATGTAAATGTAGTAAAATCATCAAACACAGCCTGTGTATATATCAATGAACATCGTCTCCTGAGTAAAACATGGATCTCCTCTCATGTCCATACTCGGACCCTTTCAGCCATGTGATGGAGCCAAAGATGGATGTTTCAGAAAGGTTTGATGGTCTGTAAATCTGACATGTTGCTTTCATGTGTTGCAGTAAAGCTCTCCCAACTGATGGCCTCCAGTCCTGCAGTAGAAGACGGAGGATGTGCCTTTCTCCTTCACTTCATCCGTTAGCTTACATCACTTTAAGAGCCGCTGCTACGTTGAGCCCGTCACTCTGAAACACCACATGTATGAGAATATTTAGTGTTTTATTTCTGAGAATTTCCAGGAACATTTCCTCACTCTGTTTACAGCTTTAGACTAAACTGAGCCTCTCCATCCTCCCTGATCCTTACTGTTACAGCTTACTTCTAAGAAATCACTCCAGAGGAGCGTGCCCATGTGTTGCATCTCCTCCAAACCCTGCCGCCTCAGTATTAGCTCTCCAAATGAGCGGCACTCTGTTACAATCACCTCCTTCTGGTTCAAGCTTGAATAACTGGAAACTCTGACATTATTTCCACTTGTTTTCTTCTACCTCACTTTTTTCCTCATGTATTTGATGCTAAAATCACCCCATCGCCCTGATGCACTCCATTCGATGTTAGCAGCCAAACCACCGACTCTTTAGAATCACGCTGAGCACATGGTTGTAGAACCGTCAGCAGCAGGTTTACCTTTATTGTCACTTATCAATATTCAGTTTAAGCAAAGCTTCAAAAATGTTTTGGCCACAGGTTAAGTTAGAGAAGGGAAATTATGACGGGATCGTTGTCTGCGTCAGACAATCAGCAGCATTTCTATGGTAAACCTGCACGCTCTAGAAATGTAGCTCTTTGACTGGTGTCCTAATGCTAATACTCCTCTGGGAATGAGAAGGGAAAATAAAGCAGCATCTTGTGTGTTTTTGTCCTCTTTGTTTCTTTGCTTTCCTCCAGAACACCTACTGTATGTTTGGTCTTAATGGTGATAATGGTGTGTCTGAAGGAAGGCCTCCAATGTGAACCAGCTTTGACGGCTCTGTTGCTCTCCTCTTCCTTTCTGAAATCCTTTCTTTAGCCCCAGGGATCACAGAAACCAAACTGTTAGACTCTGTGTTAATTAAGACAGGTTTCTGTCTTAGGATCTAAGTAGTCGCCATTGAACAGCAGATACTGTGAAACTTTTCCCTTGTTTTACCAAATAAAGAACTTGAAAAGAGAATTTGTTTGTTGGTTGTTTGACTCTGGGACTCGATTATAATATTGGTCAGACACCAGATGGAGCTACGCTCCAAAGGACCTGGTGACCAAACCATCTTTACAATTCTATTCAGTTTATTTATATAGCGCCAATTCCCAACACGTCATCTCAAGACACTTTCCAGTTCATCAGATGATCCAGTCAGATTGATTCAAAGTTTTCTATCTAAGGAAAGCCAGCTGATTGCATCGACTCATCGACTCAAATACAATCCCTCCCACTAAGCATGCTTGTAGCGACAGTGGAGAGGAAAAACTCCCTTTGAACAGGAAGAAACCTCCAGCAGAACCAGGCTCAGTGTGAGCGGCCATCTGCCGAGGCCGACTGGGGTTCAAGGAGACAGAAGCAGACATAGAAAAAGAAGCATAGATACAAAAGGCAACAGTAAAAGGCGGCCCCGTCCAGGAAACACACAGCCAGGCAGACGAGCTCCGAGCCAGCTCCCATGTCAGAGGATGAAGAGAGCACATCCAGTTAGTCACAGTCAGAGAAACAGGACTACACTGAAAAACAGGCCGATCTCCAACATCTATAAACAAAGGTGTTGATGGCAGCAGCACAGCTGATATTTTTCTCCAGGATGGAGTCACAGCCAAACAGGAACAGACCAGATGAAGCTACTATGAGAAAAAGCAGAGAGAGCAGAACGTTAGAGATTGAACTAACAGATTCTGCAGAGTGGGAGAATAGAGATAGAATGAAGCAGAATCATGAAATAGGGGTCCCTATGTCCTCCAGCAGTCTAAGCCTATAGCAGCATAACTATAGAGATAGCTCAGGATAACCTGAGCCACTCAGGAAAGTTTTTTTTGTTGTTTCTCGGGTTATAAGATTAACGTGACTAAATCTGAGGCGATACCTCTCAGCACCCTCGTTTAAATGGTCTCCCAACGGGTTTGTGTACTTAGGAATCTCCATCACCCCATCCTTTGATCAATTATATAAAGCCCCTTCATTTTGTAAGATTAAACAGGACCTAGAGCGATGGATGTTGCTTCCCATTTCCTGCCTGGGATGCATTGCTGTGGTCAAAATGAATGTGCTGCTTAGGTTATTGTATCCTATCAAAAGTATTCCTGTGCTGTTCTTTAAAAGGGTGCTGAAGGATTTAGATGGTTGGCTTAGCGCAGACCCAGGCTTAAGATGGCTGTGTTACCTCTACCAAGCACGAGAGGCAGCCTAGATTTACCCGATATTAAAATGTACCAGCTTTGAGCCCGTTGGAGGTTTTTACCTGAATGGGTCACAGGTAAAACCTCAGTTTGGATGGACATGGAGACAGCATTATCATACTGTAGATTAGGTGACCTATTATTGTTTAATAATTTTACAGAAACCCAAACCCTCTCTGGAAATCCTGTAACAATCAATGCTCTAAAAGCATGGCGGATTACCCAGCGCCTTGAGAGAAGATCAAATATCGCGTTTTCACCCCAATAAATATACCTGCTTTTCCCCCAGGTTCTTCGGACCCTGGTTTTCGACAATGGTCTAACAAGAACATAAAATCCCTTAGTGACCTATTTGCAGATGATAAGCTAATGTCATTTGAACAGCTTGCTAACATTTACAAGCTCTCCATACAGGATTCTACCGTTTCTTACAAATAAGGCATTATATTACTCACAGCACAGGCCTCAAATCAAGCCAGCGAAAATTCTGTTTAATCAACAAGTGAAAGCGTCTATGAGCTCACTGTGCCATACACTGAACAGAGTTTCTGCTACTGATGGGGGGAGGGTCAGGGGTGTGTGGGAGAGGGAGTTGTCAGTAACCATAGATGAGGATAAGTGGGTTACTATGGTCTCTTGCAAAAGGGATCTAAGTTTGTACTCTGACAACAGAAATACAGTTTAAGATCTTACAAAGACTACATATCTCCCCCCATCATAGGAGCGTCTTTAACCGCTCATTTTCCCCTCTCTGTCTCAAGTGCAAAATTGACGTGGGAACTCTAACTCACTGTCTCTGGACTTGACACAAACTTCAAAGATACTGGGCTGAAATATTAAGGGAAATGGTAAAAATGTTTCTTATTAATTAAGACATGGGATCCTGGGTCTGCCGTGTGTCTGTCTGAAAACAGACGCCAACTAAAGACCACAGTATCTTAACCTTTGCAGCTAGAAAAAATGTTCTTCTGCAGTGGGTCAGTGACAATGTTCCTTCTGTCTGTGGTTGGCGTGAAATTATTTTTGAACTAATTCCTCTGGAATATCTAACCAATGTCATGCATCACAGTGAAGACCAGTTTTACAGAGTATGGCTCCCATTTTTGGACTATATTAAACCAGAACTCTCCTCCACACTATTAAGAGACCTGCTGTGGACCTAAAGAGTATAAGTGCATTATAAGACTGATTTACCACGTTGCTGATGAAGATTCTCAGTCCTCCAGGTCATAGTCATTCCATAAAAGTTTAAAAAACAATCCACTGGACTTGGTTTCCAAGATTTGAAGACGTTTCGCTTCCCATCCAGGAAGCTTTCTCAATTCAAATGTCTGAGGGGAGGGGAAGCGAAATGTCTTCAAATCTCAGAAACCAAGTCCAGTGGATTGTTTTTTAAACTTTACAGACTGATTTACCACCTTTTGCAACATGTTATATGTTTATCTGCTATGTTAGAGCTGTCAACTGTTTGTTGAAACACTGAAAATTCAATAAAAAAATTTAAAAAAGGAAAGTTTTAAGCCTACCCCAAGATCACAGGGTGTCTGCCTGACGGACTAGACTAACTAGAAGTCAAACAAATGATTACACCCATTTTCATTTGATATGTGGCATATTGATGCATTTATCATTGACACTTGCTCTGAAGAATATTTGCAAAGATTGACTTTGATAAGTCATTAAGGGGAAATACACTTTTTTTAAGAATTTTTAAATTCATTTTAAATACTCTTCAGTGGTTTGAGTGACAAGTCTGAGTTGCCAATGATTCCAAAATGGCAGCACCCATAAGAAACAAGAGGAAAAAAATTTAGTTTTACTCCATAAAGGTGCAAATTGTTTACAAAGTTACTGGTGATAAAAAAGTTCTTAATCAATTAATGAAGAAAACAAGAACATTTTGCAAAGTTTGTTTGGTTCGACTTTGAGATGCGTCAAGCAACAAAGTACAAATACTTTGCTTCCTTTCTTAAGTAGGAATGTTGTCTATCTATACTTTCCTGAAGTAATTATTTTTTAGAATTTTTTACTTTCTATTCCTTACATTTCAGTAATAGTTTCGTTTCATTTAAGCTCATTTTCATTATGCCCTGCTGGTATTAAAAAATAATAATAATAAAATCCTCAAAATCAAAATAATTAGTGTCATACAGACAATTCATTTCTTTGTGGTTGGACTCGGTGCTGCCCCAACTTGTTGCTCACCACACAGTAAAATTCAGAGAGCCAAAATGTGAGTGTCAGAATCTGTTAACCCTATAAGAGTCATTCCAACAACAGTGAGTGTAAAATGCCTCATTATGTATGCAGAGCTGGTGAACCACTGCACCATTTATCTGCTTCTCCTCGCTGGAAAACCACAGTATGTGCCTCAATTTTAACTTTGTTCCCCTTTGAATTTCATCTGGAATAAGTCTGATAACCTTGTTAAAATAACTGTGTTTACAGTATATTTTTTATAAATACATTTTAAATGTCTTTTTCTGTAAATGTATTGAAGGATTTCATAAATTTACAGAAAAAGAACGAGCTGGTAGCTATACACTGCAATCTGTTCTCACATAACCAAATGTATGTGGAATGTTTTCATCTAAACATGTTTCAAAGGTTGGTTTGTATTTAGATTTAAAAGATGGTCTATATATGGAAAAATCATCCTCTATTTTTCCAAGGAGAAAAATGCAAATGTTTTTTTTATTATTTTATTCTATGCCTTTTTTATTCTAATTTATTATTGGCATTTTGTTGATGTGTTGAAATTAATAAATTGATAAGACATGGATATATTGAGGGTTGTTTTCCCTAAAAATTCTTATTTAAGTTTAGGCAGCACTGAGCCAGGTTACATATGGTCCAGCCCTGTATAGTGTTAAACTTACACTGATCTCAGCATCAGAATGTCTGAGTTAATTTTTACAAGTGTTAAACTAAGTTAACAATTGTCAGAGTAATTTTTATTTTACTCTATAACTACAATTAACTAACTAACTAACTGACACTGTGATCAGTGTAAGTTTTACACTGTACAGAGCAGGACCATATGTAACCTGGCTCAGTGTTGATTGACTCTTTAAGTGTTACATTTTACTTTGTGTCCTTAACATTTTTTCCTGCATTACTTTATCTTTTATACTTAAAGTAGTTTTAAAAATGGTACTTTTACACTTTTAATGCAGTAAAAAGCTGAAGTTGATCCTCTAACTTCTACAAAAGTGTTTTAATCAGCAGGATTAATACTTGAATGGAGTAATACACATGACCTCTACTGACTTTAAACTTCTGGCCCATTGTTGCTTCAGGGCAGCGAATGTTGAGCTTATTCTGTTTCCATAAAGCCACATGGTCTCTGGCAGTTCTTGGTTGTTAAGATGCGTCAAAATAAAACTCCTAGAGATAAATCAGTTGTTTCCCAGAGCATCAGACCTCACCTTGTGGTCATAGAAAAAAATGAACCCAACATGGCTGACCTTTATAGAGGGAGGTCAGCATGGACACCCTGATGGTGGAATCTGAGCTCCACAGAAGAAGAAGAAAAGATTAGTCCTGCAATATTTTTCAAATATAAAAAGAAAATCCAGCAGTAAAATAAATAATCTTCATGTTTTCAGTGAAACAAAGCATGAATATATTGACACCCCCCATCCCGTTAAATTGCAAAAAATGGATTGGTGCTCATGACATCAGGTCTCCCCATCTGGCCCCGGCAGTTCGCTCGTACCGTGATCCAGGTTTTTCCTCCCTCTCTTCTTTTCCAGTAAGGTTTTTAGATATTAGGTAGATTATTAACCT